AATAAGCGGGATCCAATTCGAAGATTTAGGAACAACGCAATCATTAACATTAACTGAAAGAGATAATTAGATAATTTTAGCTTACACCGTCCGTTATACATTAAACGCGCAGGCGAAAACATATTCTGCACTTGCGCACACGCATATGTGCAGTAGTCAAGGTCTTACGCGCACGCGTAAAACGCCCGTGCGCACGTGCCAACGCGGCGCATGCGCAGAAAGTTTTTAGCTTTGAGGTCCGGATTATGGGTGTCCGAATTAACGACTTTTGACTGTATATAAATATACAGTACAAAGTCCGAGATCCGGACATCCAATATCTGGAATGATCTAAAATTCGGATCTCAAAGCCACCACCAACCAATTTTTTAGGGCTTTTTTGAAGGGAAGGGGTATGCTTTATGCACGCGCATTAGATTTTTTTCCTCATCATAAAAAAACATGCCAGAAATCCCGATTCTTAATCTCAGTTTGGCGCTAAATAAAATATCTCATTATTGAAGAAATAATTATTTTAGCATAAATTTGTGTGATTAGTAACTTGACTCCATAGCTGCGTATCTGCTTGGCATAATCTCAAACCGAAACATTTGTTAATTTTACACCACCAACTAATATTTTATATCCTTGATGCCGAAATCGCGAATCATTATTTATTGTATTTTGCTTTCATCACCGCATGTTTATCAACGGATGACAACTTGAGTGATGAATCATGCAGCGACGCCAAATAACAGAGTATTATCCGATTACAGATTTAAGTTTAATGCGCTAAAATGTTGACAAGGGGAGATTTAGCAGAAATTTCTTTCCTTATGCTAAAAATAGATTTTGTTAATGATACTCATAGGACACAAACGATTATATTTAGTGCTATTTGAATTAAGAATAACTGATTTGTTATTCACATAAAGCCAGAAACCAGCGCCAGAGCTCGCATGGCCGCACCAGGCGGCAGAATTTAACGAAGTTAAACAGAAGTTTTTCATTGCGATGACAATGCCCAATCATCAATCAACGGAGGGCGAAATCTGTAGTATGGTTCTAAATCCAGAAAATACAGCTACCGATAGTGAAGAAAGTAACAGAGAGGTTACTGAACGAGAAAAAAATTTTGATTGACAAGTTATTCGGAATTCTCGACATAGCAATTACAGGACTTGAACAATGGAACTTAATAACTGAACAAGAAATTATATGTCTATAGTATTAGCAGAGAAAACAAATCAAACAACTCACATTGAAAGAAATGTTTAATAAAGTAAACATATAAATATTAAGCTCTTTTCTTTTGTAAATTTTGATACCCTTTAAATCATAAATGCTTCATTTCATAAATCACGATTTCATATTTTCAATTTTATAATTTCTACATGCCATCTTAGTAGATTTAAAATGATCTAATATCCGGAAAAATCTCAAATCTGGGATCGCCGAAGTCCCGACGAGTCCAGACCTCGGACTTTGTACTGTATAAATATATATATATCTCACCCTTAAATGACATTGTTTCTTAAAACAAGTTGAACTTTTTGGAGCCACTTTTGGAGCTCCTGGTAACTTTTAGGCGAGCTTACTACAATTTCTAATTTACTTATTTTGCAGCATATTGCGCAAAATGTTATCTAGACCAAATTGGTCTTACAGTATTGTACTAACTACCTTGCTTGTTATATTATATATAATATATATATAATACGGAATGTATATTTTCAGTTAAACTTTTACCCAATAACTTTAGTAATCCATGAAAGTTAATTTTGCGTCTAGTTAATTCAGGAAAATTAGTTTCAATCAGTTGTTTTTAGCTTTAAAAATATTAAAAAATTTTTAATTAGTTATTTTCAACTAATAATTGTATCGCCATTAGCAAAAATTATGCATTACTATCAACAATATAGTACGTGCAAAAGAGAATAAACTCCGTAGAAGGTGATAAATTAATTTATGGCTTAATTGAAACAAACACAGAAATTAAGCTAAGCAAAACCATGTAAAAACAAATTGAAATGATAAAACGAAACTTAATTTTTCATGTGAATTTTCAAGCGCTGACTCTCCCATTCTAGAAATTTCAATTTGTTTCAGACAAAAGACCCCATTTAGCTTTTAAGGATTGCCATCCATCAATATCCAGTCTTCGTAGTCAGCTTGATGAAGCCACAGTTTATTGAAAATGCACTTTCCAGGCATCTCGTTCCTATTGGCGTCGGAAGGGTTGTGGCCTTCCAGGTTGGGATTGCATCCAAATCATGCGGTTCTAACTATGAGACGCGCTCAAAATTCGAAGACACAGCTGTATCACAATTCACAATTCTTCAGTTGTAAAAAACAGACACAAGTTGCACTTAAAAAGTTCTTTCTCTTCCATTAGATCTTTGGGTACATCTATCCTGCCGACTCCTTGTGATGTACCAGCTTTGTCAGGAATAAATAGATTGTTGAAGAATCATAAATGTAGTCGTAGCTTAAATTATCAGACGATAAGTTTAAAAAACAGGATCCATTTATTATTGGTCAGGAGAAATAGCAGTTACAAAATCAGATATCCGGAGTAAATAAAAAAAGAACTACTAATAACATTTTGCATGAAATTTACTGCATCATGACATTTAAGAAAAAGCCCCCAATATTCTTTTGCGAGTCCTTTTATAGCCTCTGGAAAGGCGGAGCTTCCAAGAAATGACATCAGCCTCATCAGCCAATCCAGTTCGCTTTAAATATTTCCAGAACATTCTATAACTGTACGTGTAGAAAAGGCAGGAAAAACAACTTGACTACGGGGCTGTGGATTTAATTCCACGTACTTTCAAATAAGAGACCGTCGCCATTTAAAATGAAAAGAACATACAGTTAGAATTTTAAGTGTATTCTTGACTATGGAATTTTATTATTACATATATATATATATCATGTTACAAACTACGGAATAAGTGCATAAGTGCACGTTTATTTAGTTCAACTTAATGATCATCAATTTTTATTTGTATGGGTTACTATAAAAAGGAAATAATTGGTAGAATAAAGGAGTTCACAGAAGAAGGTTTGTACAAGATTTTTACATGCATAGCTAAATAAATATAGTTACGTTCATGTAAATGGGCAGGGATACTCTAATGAACTATATGACTAACGTTAGTCATTTAAAGGAAAAGTACCCATCGAGGCCCACATGGAATTAAGCATCAGACTTATAACTATTGGTAGTTATCAAGTGCAAAAACATGTAGAATGAGAAAGGAAGATTTTAAAATGAGTTTAAAAGTCAAGATTCTACTGCATAAATAAGATCACTTAGCTGTCCATGATGATTTAGTAAGATATGTCTCTAGTTCAAATGACCTTCCTTCTGGAGATACTTTGAGACATAATGCATATATTTTGAAGAAGAAGCAATATAAGAACAACTAAAATAAAATTATGAGCATATCTTTAGAATTTCGAATACACAGTTCCACACACTGGAGATAAAAAGATCTTTTTTCCCCACCTAGAGTGTTGCCATTGCTCGCTTTTAAATCCTTGAGTTTGTTAATAAAAAATTTGTTAGTTTTACAAAATATGAAATTGATAATAAAAAAATTACAAATTTCAAATTTGGGCTTTCAGTGCCCATATTTGCAGTAGGATTAGGCATTCAAAATTGGATGGCTCGAGGTACCATTATTTTATCACAATGCGAGAAACATACATACATTTATGCAGATTCTTCCTTATTTAATTTCTTCAAATATAATACAGGGCAATAGTATTTGGTGGCAATGATTTGAAAAGTGATACTGCCTTTTCAACACAAAATCACAAAACGAAAACAATAGTCCTTCAGGGAAAAAGCTCCTTTGGACTAACAAGTCGTTAGTTGCAGCAGCTGATAAAATATACGATTATTTTTTTTTCATGCAATAGTTGATTTGATTTTAAGTTACTTTGTATTTCTTATCTATTTATTTTGGTGAAAAATGTAAATTTTCCTTTTTTGATGCAAAACCCAGTCTACCTAATAACAATAAAACAAATCAATAAATTATATTAATATGGTCATAGCACAAGATGCTTATATCATTAGCAATAAAAATTTCCTTTTCTGGGCAAGGGGGCGATTTGCTGTAATTTTTTTCAATTTTATTTTTATAATAATCAAATTTTCCACAATAGTGTTTGTTACATCTAGACTGCAAACATAGGTCAAAATTCCTTCTGTAATGTTTCACTTAATTAGTAAAATTTGTTTTATATTTATTGTTGTATAATCTAATACAACATAAAATAACCCAAGATTGACATAACAATATATTTAAATGTCTGCAAATTATGCTATCAAATCAGTCTATTATACATCTGCTGATGAAAGATACTTTGCCTGTCATGTGCAAGCATGTTTTAGCATGACTGTTGTTTGTCCTTTATGCTCTTAATTGCTTAGCTTATGATAAAAATACAAATGGCACATCACATGATACTGATAGACGTTTTTCTCTTTAGTTCGGCATGCATATTAAAATTTCTGTGTGAAAAAGTGTTATTTGTTGAACAAAAACAATTGAAATAAATTTATGATTAGTCTCATTTTTATATTACACAGCTACTATTATTTCAAAATTATTTAAAATTTTTTAAATACAGAATGGTTTTAAGCAAATTAAAAATACAGTGATAATTTTAAGTTTATATAACTACAATAGCATAATAATAGTATAATAATATTACAGAAATAAGATTAAAAATTCTAAGTTAACTGTATAAGTATGACAATCTTGAAATGAAATTTTTATTATGTACTTTTCACATGTAGACATCATTTTTACAGTGATCTCTCGAAAAATGAAAAAATGGTGTTTTCAGTACAGAAATAACAATACTTAAAGTATTCACATAAAATGATTTAAGCAAAAACATACATTACACATATTCTTTTAATACACAAAGAAATAACCAAATACCAAAAATACCTTCCTTTATGCAAAACAGAGATTTTTTTTTGTTTTAATAATTTTTTTTACCTGTGTATTTTTGCTGCAATGGAGAATCAGTCCCACCACTCTGAATGATGATAATACATTCTGAAATATACTTGAAGTAAAGCTGACTATTTAAAAATTGGAGAAGGTAAGTCTATAGCAGAAGAAAAAGAAAAAAAAAAAAAAAAAAGGATAAGATAAATCTTGCAAAGAAAAAAATTAATTCGTTTAAAATGGAAACACATTTTTAAAATAAAAGACATTAAAATGCTTACTTTTTCTAAATACTGGGTAAGAATTTTTACAGGTTTCAAAAAACAATCTGGTAAAGGTCCTCCTTCTCTGCATATATTTGCTTCCACTTCATATCGGACCTCATCACTAAAGCCCAAAGGTATAGTAGCTTGCAGGGAAAAGTATCTTTTGGGTAGATATAAAATATTTCAGAAAATAAAAAGCAGGTTTTCTGAAGATTGTATGACAGATGAAATATTTATTAAACTAGTATCCACTTATCAAGAGAGAAAAGACAGACCAAAGTAAAACATAAAATTAGGCAAATCGACAACTATGTGTTTGGCATAGATTTTAATTAAGACTCTATCACTTTTGAGAGCGAACAGGTATATGTTCTTTCTCATCATGAGCAAAGGAAACTGCAATGATGGGAGAAACCACAGCTATATTTAGATAAAAAACAAAGGCAGGTTACAAATGTTAGGAATGTCTTTCCTAACATTTTTTTAAATTCTATTAACTTATTCTATTAACGAGTCTTATATAAAAATCTAGCCAAACAACAAGGTTGTTGCTTTACTTAATTTTAGTGTTGATACAGAAACTTAAAAAAAAAAAATAAATAAATAAAATAAAAAAAAATAAAAAATAAAAAATGCGCATTTGATTACTTACTGAATATCCCCCCCCTACGGAAAAAAATAAATAAATAAGGTAATGGAGGATTTACTTAATCTGAAATATTCTGAAAGTCAGTATATTTAGAGCTACTAAAATTAAATACATGATACTAAAACTTTTGTGTTGATAAATGGTGGTATGTCATAAGCACAATTAATTGAAAGTCCCTGCTCTTTTAATTCTTTGATCAGTCTCAATTGAAAAATTAAAATTATAAAGTGTATATATAAAGAAAAATACTTTTAAAATTCATATATTATGCATTAAATGTGAGAAAAATAAATTTTTGACACAATATGCATAAAAAATGCTTTAAAAATTTAATATTATTTGCATCTACACTACATTAGAGCTGAATGTGATCCCATTTCAAAAATCATGAAAACTACCAACATGGAGGGGAAATCTGATAAAATTTCAAATAATTCAAAATATTAAGCTGAAATACAAATGCATGCTCACATATTTCAAAGCAGCTTCATTAAACAGCTAAAAGTACATATTTTTAAAATTTATTATTAATTAATTAATTTCCCCCAGTTGTCTATCTTTTAAATTTCCTACCATTTAAAAAAGTAATTGTTAATTTCAGCCCGCCTTCGAGGGAGATACAGTTTACTTTCTGGTTTGTAGATATATTTGTTAACAATCGAAAGTTCAGTATGATCAGCAATACTTTCGATAGAAAACCAAATTGGGGAAGGGGGGAATAAATTAAATATTAAATTAGAGCTTGAAGTATGTATATTAACAAGTGTGGAAGGTAAGAAACTGCTAGAAAGAAGAGAACGGTTCATTGAATGTACAGAATTTTGGTAAGCTGTCTTGTTATTCACCAAATTATCCCTAAAATCTTCACCGATTGGGTCTTCAAAGGAATTTCCTCATCCAAAAGCTTCACATGCATTAATGAGAATAAAGAATATTTCACATTTTATGCAATATCTAGGCTGTCGGTGTTCTTTAAGGACATTTTACATTCTATACATAGAAACAAATTAAAACAGATTTAAACAGTTTTATTGATAATTGGTATTTCTGCTTTTCCTGCTCCTTTAGCCTGAATACTACTGCCAAAAACTTTACAGAATTAGCTTATTTTTCTGTGTCTGTATATGGCAAACAGTAAAAATAGCTTTCTTATATAATAAAAACTTCTTATCAGAGTCAATTAAATAAACTCTGAACAATGGATACATGGAAGTAAGGTAAAAGAGATTTAATCAGTTGCATCAAGACTGGTTATTTCTGCTTTCCGCTTTCTTTCAGCCTGAATACTTCAAGCTCCTCTCTTGTTCTCGAATACTTCTCTCAAAAGTGTTAACTCTTGTCTGACTTTAGTCAAAAGTCTAAAATTTTTCAATTTCTGTAATCTTTGAATGATATTTTCTAGTAAAAGAAAATTTGAGAAAGATAAATTAAAAAATTCCAGATATGAGAAAGTGAAAAATCCAAAATTCCAGCTATATATGGACCACAATTAACCCTGCTACATGACAACTTTTGTATCATTAACTGGTAAAGCGATATATCATTAAAAAGCAGACAAAGCAGTGTATCACCAAAGAACAAGTCGTGAAAATAGCATAATATACAATAACAAGCTTTCAAAAGAGGAGGAAAAAAGAATGTACTCAAGTACTAAAAAATAAATAAGAAAAGATATCCTTAAGATTTAATAAACATGAAAATTTTAAGAAAAAATATTATAAAACCTGTTACACTTCCTTGGAGGTATTAAAACAAAACAAGAAGAATCAGCATAATATTTGTGAATTTGCAGGACTAGCTTCAAAGGTTTTAAACATGGAACAGTCTTCTTCAGCTGCAGGAATGCAAATTATGAAAAAGAAGGCTCGGGTGGATTCTTATTGACTTAACAACTCCAAAAATCGTTATTTGGCATGTTATTTTAACTCAGAATTGCAACAGTTTGTGTAATTAAATATGACTATATTAAAGAAATGGTTATTATTATTCGATGCGGCTACAAACAACATTCAGAATGACAATATTAAATAAATCAAATGCATGTTGGTTTTTATTTTGGAAGCTTTATTCTATTTTTATTTTCTTCTAAACACATAACCCTCAACTATTTATTACATTTTCTAAAAATGGAATCTCTCAATAAAAATTTTCATGATGATTAAAAATCTTGAGTATAAGATTTTACACAATATACTATATTAAGCACTTACTTGTCATATAAAACCATGGCATCTGTTTGAGCTTGCAGACCATCATACTTTCCCTGATGAGAAAGTAAATGTTTCTGAAAATTGTCAGCCATCAATAAAAAATCAACAAGATGCCGAACACCTTCTTGTTCCATAAACTGATGGGAAGGAAAATACTGTTTAACTTTTCACAAATTCAATTAACAGCATTTAGTAAAATTAAAAAATTCTCATTAAAATATTTCATTTAAATCATTTTAAAAAACAGCAGCTGAAACTGATCTGTTAGCTAAACAAACTTATAGTTACATATCTATTTTTTATGCTGTTATTTGATACAATATACATGATTTTATCTACTACATAAGTAAACATTGCAACTTATGCAACAGTTTTGCATGACACATGATGATAATTAAGTTTGTCAAGGTCATGCTAATGCATATAAAAATTTTTAAAACTAAAATATAATAAAAATTCATTAAACCTTTCCAGACAGGTGTCCCATATATGCATTCCTTACAAACATCTCTCACAGCCAGGAAGGGACGGGTGATGCATATATGTGCATTTTAAGCTGAACTATTTTTTAAAGCCCACTAGATGGCATCCTGTCTTCATTACTTTAACTGAACATAATTTTAGGATCCTGACCTTCAGTTTGATCATATTGGACCTAACTTTGGTATCAGGCATTGCAGGGAAAGTCTAATGTAAACAGAATAAACATTTGGGTTTCTAACATCCTTTCGAATCCTCTTTTTAGCTGTTATGGAGTCTTTGCAAAAACTATGTCGAGTTCTGTTATTTTTTGCATTGCCTTTATCACTTATATTTTGCATAGTTTCCTTTCTATTTCGAAAACCTTGACTTAATTTATTATGGTGAGCAAGCATTATCTATCAGAGGAAAGATATAATCACATGATAAATAAGCCAATAAGTGACAAGGATGAGAGTAATGATTCCTTTTCTAATGCAGTGTTTCTCAACTGGATTTACTCCAAGGACCGGTAAAATATTTCGGTAAGTTCTCGCAGACTGGTAAGTTTAATAATTTGATCCATAGGCACAATTTTTTTCACGTGAATAAGTCATGAAGACAAAAATAACTTGGAAATTCGCGGATCGGCAAATATTTCTTGCGGACCGGCGGTTAAGAAACAGTGTTCTAAAGAGTTCAGAGTGACACTTCTAGTGATTCTGATGAAAAACATTTTGTCAGAGACTAAGCTGAGTGTCTGCCTTCCATTTCCTGTGAAAGATTTTGATACTTTTTCTTGTAAATAGTCATCCTTGTATATTTTATATTTTATTAATTTTAAAGTTTGTTAATGTATTTTGGTAATTAAAGCTTCAGAATAATTTGAATAGCACTTTCGAAAATTATTTCTCACAGTAAAATTTTTTTAAAAATCTATTTTCATGTAATATATTAAATGCTAATTTTAACGTATATGATAGCTTAAGTAATAACCTAAACAGATACCAAAATTTATGATATTAGAACCTGAACTTTGATTTTTGGATTTCCACCCCCTAAAGTTAGGTTTAGTGACAAAAACTCGCCTCCTGTGCGACAAGTCTTTCGACTCCCATCCGTCTTGAGGAATTGTCTTAAACAAAGGCAAGCCATCTCAAGGTTAAAAGCAATAACAAATCAAAATAGACTGGAGGTAGAAATGTATGATGTTAATGTACCATATTTACTCAGATATCCCCCACTTTTCCTACTAATTTTACCACCTGAAAACGCAACACATAGTATACTATTTCTAAAGAAACAGCTTAAATAATACATATATAGCGTATTAAAAGCACATAAAAACATGCTAATATATTATGTATTTCAAACAGCTTATGAATTTTAATGATATTCTTTTAATTTACATAAAATAAATTGCTATTTGTAAATACAATTTACATTCCTATGATAAACCAGAAATTTCTAAATCACATGCTGAAACAACTAGGGGAGAAATACACAAGTACATATGGTATTTTGTTACAGAGTTCTTGACTTTAAATGGAAGTAATGGATTCACTTTTTTGGCACAGAGGTCACAAACCTTTTTTTTTGGGGGGGGGTATGGGAAAGGGGCAGACTACAAAGTTTTACACTCAGTGGGCCGTACAGCTAACTTGAAAATATTTACAAGTGTAATTCTTTCCACTCATAAAACAAAAAAAAGTTTAAATTTTTTTCATTAGGAACATACATTTTTACATAAAATTTATATGCATTCTGCTGATGAATAATAGTAATACAGTATTTACATTTATTAACAGGCATACTATACAGCATATTAAACTTTATATTAATCTGCAATGAAACTAATTGTTTTTTTTTTGCCCCTAGATAATATTTCATCATACCACAGCTTAAAGTTACTTTCTATCCATAAAGTTGTTTGCATGCAGTCATATAGTCTATGTGTTAGAATTCCAGTGATTTTGCATTACAAATACAAAACTTACATATTCTTTTCTAAACAATAATTTGAGATTCAGAAACAGATTAATTTACCTTATACTAATTCCTACGGAAATTCCCCTCCCCCCCAGTTTATGAATATTTAGGAGATGAACTGCTTTTCAGAAATGCATTAAGTTCGTGAACCAAGGTTTTACTGTGTCTGTTTATTCTATTGTACAGTCAAAAGTCGTTAATCCGGACTCGTCGGGACTTCGGCGATTCCGGATTATCGATCATCAGTTTAAATCTGGTAAGATGGCATGCAAAAATTACAAAATTAAAAATATGAAACCGTAATTTATGAAATAAAGAACAATTATGATCTAAAGGGTATCAAAATTTACAAAAAGAAAAAGCTTAATATTTATTTGTTTACTTTATTAAACATTTCCTTCAATGTAAGTTGCTTCGTTTCATGTGATAATACTTTCTCTTTAATTCTATTAAACAGAATGACGTTTCTGCCCCCCCCCCTCTGCCGCAGAGCAGCGTGAAATTGATAAACAGATTTCGGATTTCAAAACATACTTTCGCTTTGTAATAAATATATATCGGAAATTCTATTTGACATAATCGAAAGTTCAAGCTTACTTTTATAAAATTGCTCTAACAGTCTGCAAAAAATAATAAGCCGGATCCAATTCGAAGATTAAGGAACAACGCAATCTGCAACATTAACTGAATTAGATAACTTTAGCTTAGCGTATAACTCCGTTACACATTAAACGCGCATGCGCACAAACATATTCGCAGCCGTAAGGGTCTTACGCGCTCGTAAACGCCTGTGCGCATGCGTGAACGCGAAGCATGCGCAGAAAGTTTGTAGCTTTGAGGTCCGGATTATGGGTGTCCGAATTAACGACTTTTGACTGTATATTTCTTTTGAATAACTTGGTATTATCACATGCCTGATTAATGTTTTTGTTATTTAATATTTGTTTATTGCTTTTGTATTTCATATTATTTCTAATCTGTTCCTTAGTATTCAGTAATTTGCTGAATTTTGAGCAGATAAACAACTAGAAATTTATAAATGAGAGTAGTCTGACTGAGTGCATGCATTAGCAACTTTGAAATACACATGTATTGCAATGATTTAACCTTCCAAGCAGCCAAACAATATACTCGTATATACACATTAAAAAGTATTAGTAATGATATCTTTAAGTACACAGATATGCATCTAGAAATGTGTCCAGACAAAGTGGCATATACACACACAATTAAAGTGGCAGTCATGAAGTTTGGCATCAGAGTTCAGGCATGGTTTTAGCAGAGTGGTAAGGCAATATCCAAAGAAGACACACAGAGGAATTTCACTTTTAATTGCACATATTTAATTCAAATAGCAGATCAATTTCCTTTTCCAACGAAGTTCTATAAAATTACATATTCAATAATGAGTTACTAAGTAAATTAAATTTTGACTTTCTGCATCATAACATTCTAACAATGAAAAGAAGGATGGACAGAGCAGCGTGGAGTACACCACACGAGGAAAGGAGAGCTTCTGACGCAAAATGGTGTGCATTCAGTATTTATAGTAGCAGTTATGTAATAGGCTAGCAAATTCTAGAAGGTACTGATCTAATGTGAAGATCCTGAATTGCAGAAAATTAACTGAAGGTTGTGTGTTCACGAAGAGCAAAGCCATCGTATTTTTTTTATATTTTACATCTGTATTTTTTTTTGGTACTATTCGGTTTTGAGGACCGTAAAAAATCGCCACACTATTGTTGATGCCAATGCTGCCAAAAGTAACTGCGGCAACCCTAATGCAAGAAAGGAAGTATAATAGTAAATAACTATCTAAATATTGATGTTTTAATTTAGATGAAAGGTTAATTTCATATAATATTTCGCTACCAAGTTATCGCTAAAGCATAATGTCATCTCGTTGGTTGTTCAAACATAATTTTCTATAATGAATGATGCCTTTTCTTTGAAAACATTTTCGATAAAGGGCAGAATCGCCCACTTATTTGTTTGCCGCTTTTCACAAGGGTAAAAACAACTGGATTTTTGTCATACAAACTGGATTTCTTTACTTTTTAACGTAAACAATAGGTCGATGTGTACGTAGATAAAGTCAAGGGTGTGCACAGTGCCTATTTTTGCGCAATTCTAGGATTTTTTTTTTTTTAAATTGAAAATAGGGTCGATGTGTACATGGATACCGAGTATGTGCAATTCTTAACAACTCGTCAAACGGTGGGTGATTCTGCACTGTACCCAAAATTCTATTCGCAGACTTTTCATCATGGGCAATTCCCAATTGTTAAATCCCTAGGATATCAAAAAAGGAATTAAAAATTAAACTAATATTTCAGTGGCATCTTAAGAAATATAGAACTATATAAACTTATGCAATCTGAAATCAGCGCGTACACGAGATTTGGCCCGCTGTAAAATGGGCACATTTGCTAGATTTGGCGCTTTCGCGCATACATTTTCGCTGCAATTTTTTTTACAGCCCTCAAAACCGAATACTTATATATATATATTACATATTATATAGCAAGAAAACAAATCAAGGTACAAATTGGTACAAAATCATTTTGGAATTATTATCAAGAAAATGGCACTTCTGTTTGTTTTAGTAATTTTAGGGTTTGAGGGCTGAATCCTAGGCCACTTGGAGGGTTGTTTAACACATACATAAATTCTAAATGTTTAAATACTAACAATGTATAGCATATATGTTCACAGTAGATTAATATATATAGGCAGTGTAGCATATATGACTAGAATGTTACCGATATATGACCCCTACATACTGAGATTTAAAGATTGCATGGCTAAATATGTATAGAATATAATGAAGCTATATACACTTAAAAAAATTTAAAAAAAAAAAAAAATCACAAATAAAAAAGGTTTAAAATCATTTAACAAAAAGATAAATAAAAAATGATTACCAGAAAACCTTTTAGGGTCAATATTCTGGTGCCTTTTATTTTATTTATTTTTCCCCCCTCTCTCTCTCTCTCTACAGCATATATTTCCTGCATGTCAGTCATACAGCACTGAATACACTGAATACCTGAACTATAATCCTTATAATGCATAACACTAAAACTTTCCCAACAAATTACAATTATAAAAATAATTAATATTTCTCTTATATAACATATTTTTAAACTCTTACAAAAATACTTCTTTGTGTGGGAGGAAATCTGAAACATAGCAAGTATTATACAATAAAATTACTCAAATAAAAGACTACCTCCATAAAATAGAAAAGTGCAGAATCATTATAAAGGACATCAGCAAGAAATACATTTCCACTAGTAAGTACATCTATCTGGTGCTTGCAATGAAAATTACTTCTTAAAAAATTTGGGAAATATCTGGAAAATAATATAGATGCAATTTTGTATTAGTAAAATAACATGCCATCATATTGTGAAAATTTGATTTGAAATCCATTTTTTCATGAGTAATATGATTTGCTAATTTATATTTAAAAAAAAAAAGGAAAGTCGCAATTTAAATATTGTAGTATTCTATTAAATTGCATTATACATACATTAATATTTAATGAAATAAACTTTGTTGATAGATAATTCTATTTAGCATGAAAACTGAAGGTATATTTTTTAAGCTAATGAACTGTAATAAAACAGTCAAATCTTTATTATAAATAGTCTTTTAACAGAAGTATAGGAATGATAAAAGCAGTTGTATTGTTGTCTGAAATGATAATCAATAAATTGTGTAAAAAAACCTACAAGAGCAACATTAATATTAATCTTCTGTCAGCATTAATATTAACCAGAATTTACACTTACAAAAATTGTATGTTCACTTTATTAGCAGATGGTACAACATTAAGTTGCTAAATGTTTTTCTCTGATCAAAGAAAATTATAATCAGGCTGTAAATGTACTGATAGATACAGTCATAAAGACTTCTTAAGGAATGACTTATTGGTATGCATTCATATAAAAAAATTTCATATAAGAATAATCACATTTCATATAAAAAAATTATATAAAATGTAGAATCTGAAGTAGAAGGGATAATGTCTAGATGAACAGATAATTTTTACTGCATGGAACTAACTAAATGAAAATTTTTTTGAGCACAATGACAATTATGCACTTAAAGTTAGTACCTAATATAATTAGTATTTACAGCAAAAAATTGAATGGCCTTCTATCATTCTAACAGTTTCCTTTTCAGCAAGAATTTGATGAATCTTTAGCTAATTATTGGGAAAATATCAAAAAATATTCAAATGATTATTCTACTGAGAACATTTTTGTACCATCATAATATTTTGATTGAATTTCACAATTAGTAGAACTAACAGACAGAAGATTGTAATATTTAGAATTTTACATTTAAGTACAGGGAAGGTCATCTGGGAAGGGGGGGAGAATCAAAATATATTTAAAAGATAATTTTTTTATTGGCCAACTATGTCAGTAAAAGGATAATCTTAAATATGCCCAAAAAATTTCAATAAATGTGTATCTTGTCAGTTGCAAGCGAGAACATATTCTACTAATGAAATCTCAACAACAGTTATTACTTTTACTAAAAATTACTAAAAAATACTAACGATGGTAGATCATGAACAACACACCAGTCATGCAGTTTCGGAGACACTTGTTCTGAGATTTTGGAACATTACAATCTGCCCTCTATCTAATTCGCTTAGATCCTTTTCCATCACTCACAAAAGTAAGTACAAGAATGATTCCTTACTTTCTCCAGCAGCAATTAAACACCATTCCCACCTAATTACATGCCCTCCCCGTCACCCAGACGAGTTCATTAAAAAATGTGGGGATGCTCATAATGTTTTGATGCTGTATATGAATTTACGTATTGGTAAGTTTTGAAATTTGGAATCTTTGTTATAAGCGATAATAATGCCAAATGTCATTTAAGCACTTATTTACAATCTTCAATGAATTGCCACAGTTATTTTTAACCTTAAATTTCAAAATAATTTTTCCTGATAATTACTTATGTGGAATTTTTTCTTAGTTTTACTAATGATGCATGATATATATTTATTAAAAAGCAATCTTTTAAATTATAAGATTTATGAATTGAATTTTTAATATATTTTTCCCTCCCTTTTTCTATGTTCATAAAAGTAAATTTTTATCTTTGTCATGTTATCGTCCGCAATTTCTTACTTTAATTTCATTTAAATCAATTTATTTTAAAACTGAAAATGCTGGTTTGATAATAAAATTGTAATTAGATAAAAATAACAAATAACTGCTAATTGATAATAATAATTGATAAAAAAAGTAACTGTTTAATTAAAATGAATTAGGTTTTAAAATATCAAACTTGCTGTACCAAAAGTATATTAATAAAATTTTAGTATTTCATGAACTATAATTATATTGATTAATGATAAGTGAATTAAAACTGTTTTATTATGTTTTTAATAGGAGTTTTATTGTATATTTAAAATAAACAGTAAATTTCAATTGCTACCTCAAAACTTTTCATATGGAAGCACTTGCAACAGTAAATATTCCTAATTACGTAACTTTTTTAATACTGATGCCACTCCTGGATTAATATTCTAGAATGAATGTCAAAATCTGAATATAAATTAAAGCATTATATGAAAGTGCAAGTCAAAAACTGGAACACCTTTTTATGTCTAGAATCCAGATAAATATAGCAAGGCAATGATAAAAATTCATTGTTACATGTGCACAGATAGTAAGTATATACAAATTAAAAATATTCAAATCTGCAATATTTTAGAAATCTGAGCTTTACTCCTTATTTAAAAATCTGGCATTGTTTTTATTTCATGATAAATTAAATTTTAAAATTTATACTTCTGTCTTCTTTTCCTAAATCTTGTCGCATTATCTTAGGTTATTTGACTCTTGTATTTCCTCTTTTAATATATCAATTTTCAAATGCATCATGGCATATACTGGGTAACATTTGAAAGAAATGCTGTTTAAATAAATAAAATAAAATTCTCAAAACATTTACATTAATAAATATAATTAAAGTAAACAGAACAAATAAATTAAAGTTTAAAAATAATTATTTGGAAAAATATAATTTAACCATGCAATTCATACAATTAAAATAAAATTCTACAAAGAAAAATATTTAAAAATAACTACACTGATTAATTAAAAAATACAATATAAAATCGGTATATAAAACATTAGGTGGAGTTTTTTACTTCCTAGTACGAAGTAAAAAGGAAGTATTGTAATCGCAAAAAGTTTCAGGCAGCATATTTCAATGAAAATATCCATTTTGACCGCTATCGAATGCAATTTAACGATGTTTTTAAGTGACATCTGTATGTTAGAACAGGATAAAGGATTCTTTTCCCCCTAAATTTTAAAATGAACAAATTTAAAACCAACTAAACCCTAAACTAATTTAAAATGAATTTTAAAGAGACTTTTTTGTGGTGTCTGTGTGTACGTACGTAGGAACATATGTATGTATCTCGCATAGCTCAAAAACGAGTAGCCTAAGAATGTTGAAATTTTGTATATAGGACTGCTATAACATGTAGATGAGCCCCTCGTATTTTGGTTCCAGTCGGCCGCACCAACGTATATAAATAGATTTATATATATATATATATATATATCCACTTTGTTACCCGGCTCATTGATATCAGTTTCTTTACTCTTATATGTTTGTAAATTGTACATTTTTTGATTTAAAAATGATTGAATTATGTTGTTTTTATCTTCCAGTTAAGGTTTTTATGCCTTTAGTAAATCTGCAAGCAATAGTTGTAAAATTATCAACAATTTAAAAGCTGTTTAAGTACGGTTAAGCCTAATTTTTAAATAACATGGTGGACATATTTGTTTACATTTGAAACAACATAATAGATTGGTTGTCAATCTAGAGAGACTAAGCTTCACAACAACAAAGATAACACCTTCTTTTATTACTGCGAATTAAATCATTGCTTAATTCATTCTGGAATTTATTCGAGGAAATAAATGTTTAAGATTTACTTCACAATTTTCAATACAGACATCTTGAGTTTTAGTGTATTTTTGTTTTGTCGCGAAGAGAGAACTGAATTAATTGAATGAGAAATACTGAAGCGTCTGTGAAAAACTCTCCCTTTTTTTTGTTGTTGTTGTTGTTCTTTGCTTAATTTCTTTTATACATCGTTTTAGATTTATTATAGCATTTGAATAGAACATGTGGCAACAATTAGATAATTCTTAAGATGACATAAATTTTGTGCATTCCGAGTTAAAAATGAATGAAATGTAACGCTGTTAAGTGAACCTAGGGCCAGAGTGTCGCTATGGTAAACAAATATAGTGAATTTTAAAGAGTGCATTTATTCTATTGTGGTTTGTGCGCTATCGACGAAGTAGATTTAATTCAATCCAATAAGTTTAAATGAAATGGAATAAAAAATGGGTATAATTTATTATTCCATACAAAGAAGTCATTTGGTGCACACATCAGATTTTTTTTTTAATGCAACAAAGCATGTAAAGGCAATCTGCCTTAGGAAAGAAATGTCTTCATGGAAAACTTTGGAAAGGAGTTGACTTTTAATTTTATTACAATGGAGAAAACTATGAAAAATTCATGCAACTAGTCCAACTGGTAGGATTTGAATCAAGTCAAACTACCTGTGTTTGGTGATTTTTAACATTCACTCACTAGGAAAATAACATTAGTTCTAGAAACATAAGTTTGAGCCTCTGAAATCTTCAAAACAATCCAGATAGGTTTAATTTTGAAGAATATGATTATTCAAATTCGTATGAGCTAATAAGTATTTTGCTCACATTTCAAAATTATTAATACTGGAAAGCATTTCATCAATTTAAAACTTTATAAAGAATCTAGAAAGAAAAAATCATACTGACTTCATAAACTGACAGAATAGCTGTTGCAATAGATTTAATTTTTTCATAAAAAGCAATTATGCACATCCCCTTGTTTGAATACCTTGAAAAAAGAGGTTCTATAAAACTGCATATTAACTATAACGTTTGCTGTTTAAACTCTTTGGCCCTGGTTTTCAAAAAAAAAAAAAAAAAAAAAGCACCTGAAATGAATTTTTTGATTTCCAATCAGATATGCAAAAGGCATGATATATCAGATTGAAAAATCAATTTTCAGAGCAGTCTTGCGTTTCACAAATTGTTACATGATTTTCTGCCAATGTTTTGGTAGTTTTTCAAAACCTTAGGCACAGAAACTTGGTAGTCACAAGTCCAAAATCCATCCTCATTTCGGACATCCTGCGCACAATGGAATGATGTTGGAACTACATGGTGGGTGTAGCAAAAGATCCCGAGTTCATACAGAGTGCAGCCAATGAATGCAGACACATGCAGACTTGCATTATCTTGATGGAACATTACCTTTTTGTGTCAGAACTCAGTTCGACATTATTCCTTGATAGTAACGCCAACATGGATCGGCATCTTGCTGTCAAGGGTTTTATTCTGGATACTCTTCAAGGATAATACCTAAGTAATCCCAACAGATACAAAGCATGATCTTTTTATTTGTCAAATTGCATTTTGTGATGCTGCTGGCGGGTTAACCGGGTACAAACCAACTCCCTTTTTGGCCTGTGTTGTTGAAGTAAATTCACTTTTCATTACAAGTGAAGTTCCAGCCCAGAATTTTGCCCTTGCATTGATATTCGAACAGATTAGCGCAGACCCGAACACATCTGTCCTTATATTCTTGAGTCAGCTCATGCAGCACCCAGTAATTGAACTAGTACGTCAAGTTTTTGCGATGTATAGCACAACTAATGTACATGGCACTAACGTTCAATTTGCTTAGCAAGTTCTCGAGTAGCACTCAAGTACACTGAGCATATACTACTCTCGAGTATACTGATCATACAGTTCGAGTATACAAGTTCTCACAGGCGGGCCTCATCAACATCAGTAGGCCGATCAAAGCGCTTTGCTTCTTAAATGTCACAATCCTTGCTTTTGAACTTTCAGTACCAAACCTTCATAGTGTCACATGATACAATATTAGTACCTTAAAGCTAAATGTACTCACTATTTGCACATAACAAATAGTCAGTACATTTGGTGACATTCTATAGCTGACTTTCTGCTACAGAACTGGAAGTAAATGATGGTTCTAATCTGGTAGCATAATAGTTCCATTTCAGACACCTTGTATTTAATGTTTTTTGTTTTTACAAATTTCACAACACAATGTTCTAAATCAAGTCTCTATCTTTCAAATGCCAAAAATCGTTTGACTAAATATAATTAAACAAGCTAATGTGAACTGTTTGTGGAGACAGTGCAGGGGCGGGCAACTGTTATTAAAACCCAATAATATGTAGTCATGTAAAAAGTGCTTTGATTTTCAGCAAGAAATACAACAGGATAAAAAAATTTATCCACGCAGTATCAGAACAAGCACTTTTATGATGGAAAAATTGAAAGGATGTAGTAGGGGGAAAGTGGATGATTTATAGGCTGTTATAAATCCATGAAAGCTCTCAACATAAGGAAATGTATCTCAGGACAGTATTTGATGAAGTTTTAAAGTAAGGGCATATCATACACAATGGATGGAATTGAACATGATTTACTGCTGGACAGAGAAGATGTTGTTGATCGTGATACTGTGAAAAACAGTGAAACTAACAATTAGAAGATTAATGATTGAAAAATAAGAACTGATATCTTGCACACTTTTGTGATGACATAAGGAGGCCAAAATCTGTTTTAGATTATGTGTTTAAAAATGATTACTGCTGAAAGCAATTACTACTGGATTACTTTGAAAACATAATGACTCAAAGTAATAACTTGAGAAACTGCCAAAAAATGCATATGCTTCCTGCCTATTCAGAAGAAAACATTTCAAAATTGCATATCTATGCATGTAGAAATCTTGAATTTGCTGAGAATTAAAATCTTTTAATTACATATTTTCATGTCTTTTTTTATATAAAATGTATGTTTTATTCTTCAACAGTTATCATGAGTTTTCCATGGCATAATAAGTGCAATTTACCAAACTCAGAAAGTGAGCAACTTATTCAATGAAAATCTCGATAGACACAAATTTTCAGTGAATTTTTCTTGTGAAGTCATATTTCTGAGATGTGTTGTTAGCTTCAGTCAGCATGCCCCTGCATCCACATCCAAAAAAGTTCACATTATTTGTAGATTTCACAGACTGAGATTTATGCAGTGCAACATATTTCTGCTCATGCTACAGATGTTTTACATTTGTTTTACAGGAAAAATTACATCTATAATTTCCTCTAACAAAGGAAGTAAGATGCAAATTAAGTCAATTGGGATTATTTGCATGAGGAAGCTTTAAAGAAAGAGAAAGAGGAAATTTTTTACATTTTAGCATACTACATTTAAATTTGATATGAAATTTATGCTAATGCATCTAATTACTAAATCAAACACAAGAATCTTTTCAAAAAGGGGATAAATATTAATACATACTCTTTCTCCATTCGCTTAAAAACAAAATCTTGAGCAGGAACAAAACACTGTGGATCAATATCACCAGAGGAATTGAATATATCATCTGTTATACAAAACATAATTCTGTACTTTACTCAAATAACTCAGCACACAAACTATATACCTCAACATCTTAAAAAATATAATTTCTAATTTGCAGTTAAGCATTATAAATTAAACAAGCATACAAATTCTGACACACAGTTAAAGCAAGAGACTACAATAAAACATATAATAAAATATTATATTAAACCTTTTTAATTCAACGGATAATACTAAATATAAATAATAAGTCTTCACGAATAAAATATTATTTGAGTGGATGAGTTATTAGCTTAAATTATCTCAGCAAATACTTTGATATCAGGAAATTAATCCTAGTACTTATGAAAAATTCCATCAACCAAGATATATTGGCGAAAATCCCACCAAGCACATATCAGTCATTGTGGTGGCCAAAAATTATTAATGCTTTGAATGCTTTTCTTTGCAAAGCCAACAACACATAAATTCATTCAAATAAAAATCTAAGTACTAGTGTGCAGTTTCGACTGTTTCTTGTTATGCCCTTAAGCAGAGACCCACAGTTATTCACTGGTTTGGAAACACACTCTTATATATTCAGATCAACAAGTTACATCAGTAATTTACAACTTTGACTGTTCAAATCTGACAACTGTTAATTTGACAGTTTTATAATACTATCATGAGTTCAAATAAACCATAAATCCTTTTTTTTTTTAAATATATATATATATATATATATATATATATATTTTCTTTTGCTGCTTGCAAAAGGGTAGTCATCTTCTTTCAGAAACTCTTATAGTAAAACACTCGATGTTCTCCCTGTTCTACCAAACTATGAATTGCTCAGTATTCTACTTACTTGGTTTTTACACTAGGTCAAATGGTTTTTCAACTAGTTAGACCCTCTGGTATTTTTCTTTAGCCTTGATAAAAAGTTGTCTGCACAAACATCATTTAACCCTCTGAGTGCTATGACCAACTTTATACAGTTATGAGATTTTTTGTTATTTGGTATGTTAGCTAATAATTTAAGATATTTTACTTTCTCATTTCCTTTAATAATATAAATGTCATCTTAATAAAGTAAAGTTTTTGAAAATAGAGGCTAAAATAAATAAATACAAATTCAACAAATAAAAGTTGTTTAAATACCGGTCTTCATGACAGATTAAAAAAAAACCTGCACCGCTCAAGTAGTTGTCACAGCTCCAATTTATAACTGTCTTTTACTTAAATCTAATTAATTGTTCATTTTCCCATTCAATTTCCACAGTCATCCATTTTTGCACCAGCTGCAGATGATAACAGTAAAAAATTAAATAGAACCTGGAACCATGTGCTTTTCTGAACTGATATTAACTTTTCACAAGTCTTAACATTGCAACACTGCTTGTCTGTTTTCAAGCATGATATCTTGCCCATTAAACTTTGTGGATGCTGGTAGGATTCCATATTAAAAAATATATATCTATATTCAACTGCGTTCTCTTTTGTAGTTGGCATGTCCCAAATCTGAGTCAAATAAATAAATAAATAAAGAACTGAATTTGAAAAATAGAGCTGATAAAACTTTTCTTTAAAGAACACACTAAACCAAGTGCTTTTTAAGGAAAGCTTTTCCATCATTAGTGAAAAATCAGCTCTTCCCACACCCCCCCCCAAAAATGGTCGACGGGATTTTCTATGTGTACTCTAATTTTGAAACAACTCTAATTTTGAAGAACATCTGACTGCCTATATGGGAATTTTTTTTTTTAAATCAGTGATGTTACTTTTTTAAAAAAAGCAAATTTAACTTAGAAAATGGCAATGTGCCATGCCATTAGATTCCTACTTAAGGTCAGAAAACTGTTATAAACTTAGTCTTGCAAGAAGTTAAATATGTATGTTGATTAATTGTTTTTAATAAGAAATATTAACTTTTAAATAGGCACTTTAGTTACTCAAAAATGTACAATTCCCCACTTATATTTTAGGATAAATATTAAGAAAATAAAAGTGCAGGTGAATATTTGATGACAGCATGGTTCTGATTGCATTTCACTTGTTTCTGATTACAATGAAAAGCAAGCTACCTAATTAAATCAATATGTTGCTTTAAAAATATAGTATAAAAAGAAAAATTAATACCACTTAATTATTTATTTCCAGATAAACAAGTAATCAGTATAGTAGATGTAGGCCTAAACTGCAATTATTTAACAAGATGACACTTACATATTACATTTAGCAGAAGTTATGCAATTTATACGTATGGCATGCCACCTGTGTGCAGTGGCTTAGTTAGAAATTTCAAAGCCCTTGGGCAAAACTTAAAATATATATAAAGTTTAATGCTTTAAATAATCTCAGAAAATTAATCAAAGTAGTCTGAGTCTTTATTAGTTTTACCATTTTTTGCACTAGTTACTACGGTTGATAGTGGCTGGACTGATAAAGACCATATGTATCACCATAGCGTAATTTTACTGCCTTTAGCGAAGTAATCCAACTTCAACAATGAGTTGGGTTTAGATTTTTTAAAGATATTTCTCATTTGGTTTTAAATTTAAATTCTGAGGTGAGGGGATGCTCAAATTTGCCACTCAGCACTTAAGCTCTTCGTTTTGGAGTTGTACTGAAATATCCATGCTCCATCACCCATGATATTGTACAAAAAGTGAGAATCATTTTCACACACTTCCAAAACATTTTGACAAATTTCCACTCAGGAAATACTTTGGCTGTTGGTCAAAATTCTTGGGACGATATTTTTCTCATATGCATATCCTAGGTCACGATTTCAGACAATAGCTTTTGGAATATTTAACATATCAACCACTAAATAAACACTCATTTGACAGTCTGCAAAAGTTCTTTCATAGAAATCACATTCTCTTCGTTTGAGGAAGTTGGCATGTGCCCAGCACAGCCTTCATCACTGACCTCTTCACAGCTTTCCAAAAGCTATACCATGTGTAGGCTTTATGATGCTCACTCCTGCCCAAAGACATGTTTAACGACTGGAAAAGTTTCCACTTAGATTTGCCGAGTTTCACACAAAACTTTATCGTATATGTTTGTTTCAGTAAACTCTCATACAAGACATGAAACAGAGGTTTACGAAATCACCCACCCTACACCTCTGTGAGCTCAGAGACCACTGAAACAAATGCTCGCTTGATAATTGATTTACACCACCATCAGTCAGGGTAGAAAACGTGCACTGCAAAGTTAAAGGCTTTGCGATAAAATGTATGACATTATTTTCTGGACAGACCTCATATGTTTAGAGTAGGTGGAAATGAAGTGAGCTGCTATTGGAATAACTGCTCACAAGAATATTACAATTCTTTCTAAAATGGAATGCTTCATCGGCAAAACAGTGAAAACTGCTGAAAAGCTGCGAGTAAGAATTACTGATATCCCTCAAGAAAGTATACATTCGAAGGAACTTTAAATTGCAGCTGCCCTAGTAGACATAATAATAGAAAATGACCCTGTCAGAATTCCCAACAAAAAACATAAGCCACATTATTTTACGAAAGGAGAAAACATAGCTTCAAGTTTCCATGTGACAAGTATAGTGCAAAATTCTGTTGATCAGAAGCACAGTCCATCTGAATTAAAAGATTTACTTGCAACTACAGAGTTTAATGCTAATCAAATTAAAGCTGCAAGTTGTTTAATAGAAGAATTTAAAATATTGAGCCTTCAGCTAGTCCTTAGGCATCATCTATCATTTTAGATGGGTTTCCACGTAATTTTATGATGATTTTAGATATCTAAATGACATTACAATCAAAGATCTCTGCTTTCCATTGATGACATCTAAAACAGCAACTTTGAAGTTTTTTTTTTTTTTTTTTCAGTACTTGACAACAGTCAAACTTTTGAGAAACAAATGTAATATCAAAAAACAGCTACAGAAGCTCAGTGAAGCCAATTTAAAACTCAGTCCTTCAAAATATAAATTATTTCAACCAGAAGTTAGCTACCTCGGTCATATTATCTCTGTTAAAGGTGTACTTACAGAGGAGAAAATCAAAGCAGTTCATGACCAGTGTCACCCTAAAGATGTGCTTCAGTTTAAAAGATTTCTCAGCCTCTGCACTTATTATCGAAGATTTGTCAAAGGTTTTCCTAAAACTGCAAGACCTTTACACTGCCTGACAAGCAATGTAGAAGTTTTCATACATTGATGAGTGTGAAGAAATGTTTAAAGCTCTGAAAGACACTTTGACTTCCATTTCCACAATAGATAATCCTCAATACATACAGTAGCAATGAAGGAACTGGAGCTGTTCTTTTGTAAGAAAATGATGATCAATTGCACACCATTGCCTATTTTAGTAAAAGCCTCAAAAACAAAAAATTTCTGGCAACAAATTTCTGTTTTACAGCATCTGTATTGTTACCTCTTCTTTAGTATAAACTGCTGGCAAAATGATTTAGTAAAAAGTATAAGAAATGACACTAATTCACACTAGAGATGGAAGCATACAATTTCATCTAAGAAAACAATAATAGCAGTTATGGCATAAGTACAACTCTGTTAGATAAATTATTTTAAAGATGTATCTATAATAGTTAGCATCAAAAAGAAAATAAAAATATTAGCCAGAAAAATATTTACATGCAGAAAATTATAATAGAAATCTTACTTTTTATTGCTGTTCTAAGTTCTTCACTCACACCGACTGGAAAAGATGCATCAAGAGCAATATATTTGCAATATATGGAATTAGCATCTTGCTCTATACCTATTAAAAAATGTTTGAATTAAAGAAAAGAAATATATGTTAACTGCAGAATACTGTCAAAATTCAGATTTCCCAATTAAAACTATGCTTTCAAATATTCTGCATCAATCCCTAAAAAAGTTGGCAGTTAATTTTTCATAAAGCTATTACATAAAAGGCAACAGTGACTTTGAAAACAGCAGCACATTATGAATTCTATGACATAAAAATTAATCAATAATTTTTTTAAGTAACATCATACCAGGGGGTTTGTTAAGGTTTTTTTATGCTCTCATTCAGTTCACAGTTTATCTACCTGCTCTTGGACTCACTCCCATTGCTACAACACTTTTGCCTTTTTAGCTTTCATATTAAAAATCACCTTTTTCACACTTATGCTGCAAAATGTTCAACAGAAAAATATCCCAATTTTTTTTAAACAGCACAAAGCATATCTTTTAGAATTCCCAATCAAATGTTAAAATTTTGCCATAGACTTCTCCCCAAGAGGAATATTATTCTCAAACTTTTGCAATGAATCACTTTTGTTGCCCATTTCTCTTTTCAAACTAACCAATTTTGCAGCCAGCTTCCTAAATTTATTACTATATATATATGTGTGTGTGAAATAATAGCAAGGAAAGATAGATGGGAAGAGCGGCAGCAGTAAAAGGAGAAAGCGGTCTAATGAAAAATGGCACAAACTCTACATTTATAGCAGGAGTTACATAACATGCCAGAAAGTTATCGAAAGTACTGGTTTAGGGGGATGATCCGGATATTGTTGAAAGTTAATTAGAGGTTGCCTGTTCACTTACAGCAAAGCCATCGTAAAAAATATGTGAATCAAAATTATAATTTAAACAAACAGTAAAACTTTAATTCTCCCTTTCTGTTCAAAAATTATAATAACTTCTTGGGATTGCATCATTACTAGATCATTCTATTTTACATGGCTTCAGCAGCGCTGATGGCGTAATAGCTGGAAACTGAAACTTTTAAACTCAACTTTTCTCTTTGCGTGCTTCCATCTTGCATAACTACACATTTCAGCTTTGCTCTCTACCCTGCTAGGATGTAACTTTGCTATCTTGCTTGCTATTGCAATAATATCAAAAATGTAAATGTTCTGTAAAAAGACACCGCTAGAGTGCCAAGCGAACTGGGACTACAGAAGTCAGTTGCAAATAAAAATGGAATTAAAACTGCCTCGACTGCTAAGTTTCTTAGATATTATGAAGTCAACCTATTAGCTTAGAATGCAATCAAAATGCTTCCTCTTCAATATGGATCTACGTACGCATCAACACTGCTCCTGTCTTTTCCTTGCTGCTGTTTATTTCATATATATATACACGAGGATAAGGGGAAAAGTTCTCGGCCTGACCCACAGATGGCACTCCAATCAGCAAAAATTTATGTTTCCCGCCTGGGTTCATATGACCAGTTTCAACTCGTTCTCTCAAGTAGTTTGTTTACAGGAATTTTCGCAGTAGACATCTTGCGTGTTTTTAATTAAAATGGATAAACTTGAATATTGTGTGGTCATAAAATTCTTCCGTTTTGGATGGATTAACTCCTAAGGAGACTCATCCAAAGTTGACAAAAGTGTACAGGGACTTTGCTCCTTCCATGTTAACCATTAAAAAGTGGGCAGCTGAATTTAAATGTGATCGCACATCCCTCGAAGATGACTCATGTGAAGAAAGGCTAAAAACCGCAACCACACCGGAAACAATAAAAAAAAAGCATGATATCATGTTAGACACCAGGCAAGTGAAGGTGAGTGAGATAGTTGAAGCTATGGGGACATCAGAAGAAAGGGTGTGAAACATCTTGCACAAAGATTTAGGGATGCAAGAGCTCTGCACAAGATGGGTGCTGCATTAGCTGAATGTTGATCAAAAGCAAATGTGCAAATGATTTTCACAGCAATCTTTGGACCGATTCAGCAGGGATCTGACTGATTTTGTGCTCCGATTTGTCACCATGGATGAGGCCTGTGTCCACCACATGCCAGAAATGAACCAGTAGTCCAAGCAATGAAGTGAAAGCCGATGGTTCAGCGCCAAAGAAGTTGATTGCATTGCCGGCAAGGTCTATGACCTTCACAAAGTGTTTCAAGATGCGGAGAGGATTCTTTTAATTGATAATCTTGCAAAGGGCAGAACAATTACAGGTGAATATTTCTGCAACCTTCTTGACCAGTTGGACGTCAAAATTTGCGAGGAAAAAAATCATCTTTTACCACGACAACGCACCTGTGCACAAGGAGGCGTTAACGATAGGAAAACTGTAGGATTTGGAGTACAATTTGCTCAGCCATCTTCCCTATTCTCCTGATGCCGCACCCTCAAACTTCCATCTGTTCCAAAACTTGAAAAAAAAAATTCAATATTTTCACAACCTTCCAGATTCTCACTTCTGGAAAGGAATATTGATGTTGGAGAAACGTTAGACCAAGAGTGTTGAAGTCAAGGTAGATTATGTAGAAAAATAAAATCATTTCTTAACTGAAAGTTACAGTCTTTTATTGTCAGGGCGAGGACTTTTCACTTTACCCTCATATATATATATACCGTATTTGACAGCATATAAGACGCACTTTTTTTCCTAAATTTGGTCTGAAAAAAGTTACCTGTGTTTTATACGTGAAGGTAATTGCATTCAATAATTGTTTACTTGGCTTTTACGAAACGTGAGAACTAAAAGAAACCACGCTATTGAAACTTTTTTCCTTGTGTGAGGCCATCTAAATAAGGGTGTGTCTTATATTCCGTCAAATAAGGTATATATATTGCTTTTTACGAATAATGAATGTTTGTTAAATATATATACAGTCAAAAGTCATTAATCCGGACTCGTCGGAACTTCGGCGATTCCGGATTATAGATCATCAGTTTAAATCTCGTAAGATGGCATGCAGAAATTCTAAAATTAAAAATATGAAACCGTAATTTATGAAATAAAGAACAATTATGATCTAAAGGGTATCAAAATTTACAAAAAAAAAAAAAAAAAAAAAAAAAGCTTAATATTTATTTGTTTACTTTATTAAACATTTCTTTCAATGTAAGTTGTTTAAGTTGCTTCGTTTTTTATGTGATAATACATTCTCTTTAATTCTTTAAAAACAGACATAATTTCTTGTTCAGTTACAAAGTTCCGCTGTTCAAGTCCATAATTGCTGTGTCGAGAATACCGACTAATTTGTCAATCGAAATTTTTTCGTTTTCAATAACCTCTGTTTCTTACTTTCTTCGCTATCGGAAGCGAATTATAATGACGAGGAATTTGATTTAAATCATATCAAAGATGGAGTACATCGAGATGAAATACTACATTTAGTAAGGAATTATAAGCCAAATAAAATAAAAACATCTCTGCCTGAAGATAAGGATAGTGCTGACAGATCAACTTCCAATTCATTGCGCGGCGCAAACTGCGTTAAATTGATAAACAAAGTTTAGATAAACAAAGGATATGCCTTTATCCATTTTTTGCAGCAATTCCACTTTTTTGTTTAATGACGGACATCGAAACATGCTTTCGCTTTGTAGATCCTTTGACAGCTCCAGAATATATATCGGAAATTCTTTTTGACATAATCGAAAGTTCAAGCTTACTTTTATAAAATTGCTCTAACAGTCTGCAAAAAAAATAATAAGCCGGATCCAATTAGAAGATTAAGGAACAACGCAATCTGCAACATTAACAAAATAGATAATTAGATAATTTTAGCTTAGCTTATACTATCCTGTTATACATTAAACGTGCACGCATAAACGTATTATGCGAATTCGTAAACGCATATGTGTATGCGTAAAGGTATGATGCACATGCGTAAAACACATATGCGCATGCAATTCGTTTACGCATGCGCAGAAAGTTTGAAGCGTTGAGGTCCGAATTATAGATCATTCCGGATTATGGGTGTCCGAATTAACGACTTTTGACTGTATATAATTACAAAATAATTCTTTTGAAAACAAAACACAAACATGCCTAGTTATTTTTGCACATTAAGCTGAAGAAAAATTATCATTTAAGACATAAAGTAAGAAATTTAGAGCTAATATTTCACAAAGACCAGAAATTGAAATTCATAATTAATAAATTTCAAATAATCATAGAAATGCAATAATAAATTTTAAAATTTTAAAACCAAAACATTTAAAACAAGCAAAACCCCTCTTCAAAAATTATGAAATTAAAAGAAAATGGACAAAAATAGAAGAGGAAAACAAACAATCATTCTCAATGTCACTTCATACCATAAATTACTTCACACAAGTCTTACCGACTGATATAATTCAAACCCCCGCTGCCGATAAAGAATTTCGGAAACACAACCCTTCAGAGTCAGACGCAAAGAGAACACTTTGCCCACTTCCCTCTAGAAAGAACGTAAGTTAATTAATGCTTTTTCTGGCCTTTATATCTTCATGTACATTCCCTTTTCTTATTATACAGTCAAAAGTCGTTAATTCGGACGCCCATAATCCGGAATGATCTATAATCCGGACCTCAAAGCTAAAAACTTTCTGTGCATGCGCCGCGTTGATACATGCGCATAGGCGTTTACGTGTGCGCGTAAGATGTGTGTGCGCAAGTGCAGAATATGTTTTCGCGTGCGCGTTTAACGTATAACGGGGTATCTAAAACATCTAATCAGTTATGTTGTATTGCTTTTATCCTTCATCTTGAATTGGATGCAGCTTATTATTTTTTGCAGACTGTAGAGCAATTTTATAAAAGTAAACTTGAACTTTCGATTATGTCAATTTCCGATTCTGGAGCTCCCAAAGGATCTACAAAACGAGAGTATGTCTCGATGTCCGTCAAACAAAAAAGTGGAATTGCTGCAAAAAATGGATAAAGACATGAAGAAGGTGACAGAGAGGTTAGTGAAAACGAAAAAATTTCGATTGACAAGTTAGTCGGTATTCTCGGCACAGCAATTACGGGATTTGAACAGCGGAGCTTTTTAACTGAACAAGAAATTATGTCTGTTTACAGAATTAAAGAGAAAGTATTATCACATAAAACGAAACAACTTACATTGAAAGAAATGTTTAATAAAGCAAACAAATAAATATTAAGATTCTTTTTATGTAAATTTTGATACGCTTTAGATCATAATTGTTCTTTATTTCCTAAAATACGGTTTCATATTTTTAATTTTAGAATTTGTGCATGCCATCTTACGAGATTTAAACTGATGATCTATAATCCGGAAAAATCGATAATCCGGAATCGCCGAAGTCCCGACGAGTCCGGATTAACGACTTTTGACTGTATACATTTTTTTAATTTTAAATTTTTATTTTTAGATTTGTTTTTGCAAAGATTGCATTATATTTCTTATATTTTGTAATTTTCTAATGTTTATTTCAATTACTTTGAATTATATTTCATAATGCCAATTTCCAATGTTTAATTTTTACAAATAGTTTTGAATTAAAATACATAAACACGAGGATGTCGCGGGACAATTACTCAAGCAATATCAATTTTACTGCAGAAATTGCTTTTCACTCAAAATTGAATTAGCTAAAATGCTTAAACAGAATGAGTTCCTTGGTTCTCTGCATTAGTTCTTAATCCCTTCTATCCACGGAAATGTTTGGCCTAGCTTGAATTGCCGGTTTGGCAACACCTTATTACTCGAGTAAAGCACGAAACACCTTTGTATTTATTTCTTAATTATTGTTCATTGAACAGGAGTTGGTTTGTTCCCCTTGAAAAGTCAACTAATTTCTGATCAATGGCAATTATTACTTGCATTTAATTTAATTACTTGCTTTTAATTTATTTCTTTTTACAATTGAAATTTTGTTATTCATGATTTAATTCAAGTCCCCATTAAACATTTTTAACAATGTACATTCAAGTTACATTAAAACAATTTTCGAAATTGAACTTACTAAGTATGGATTCACTCTTTTAAGATAATTCTACTAAAATTAATCTTAGGAGATAATATAAATCAATATTTCTTTAGTAAATAAATTATATATATATATATATATATATACGTATATATATATATTACATACACACACACATATATAATGCTTTTAATAAATCCAGCTACTGCCATTTCACAGGTCAACCAAGTAATTAATAAATGAGATAAGGAACTGCACTTACTGTTTTTGAATTGCTCAGTTAGTTAATAACAGGCAGAATAAATTCAAAATAAAAATTAAACAGCTTACACTCTGTCAAATGGCAACAAAACTGGATGTGGATGTTTAAAATATTTTTATATTGGCTATCTTTAGAATTCTGGATAAAGTGCTAAATGTTGATAGATTTTTTGTTACATTATTTCCTTAAAAAACATACATGGCAATAGCATTTCGCAGCAATATCTGTTTTTTTATATTCACTACAATTCTTTAAAAATAATGCATGACAATAATATTAAGTGGCAACATTTGAAAAGTGATATGGACAAAAGAGTGAGGTCTGTGACTAATGATATTCTCTGGTACATAAAAGAAACATCCATAACAAAATTTAATACTTTTTCATGGCCTCCATAATAATACCATAAAATTCTTTCTCAGTCAATAACAAATAAAAAATTTTTCACATATTTTTTAAAAATCTTTTTCAGCTGCATTCCATTTAAACTTATTTCCCCAAATTATTTAATTTAATTAAAAATCCTAAAGTTACTGAAAATGACATAAAAAACTGCAAATTTTAAAATTAAATATCCCAGTCAATTTTTGTTGTACGACAATCAAACTTCTTGTGTTTTTATTTTTTTATAACAAACTTTCCAAATATATGTGTTTTCATATATATAAATACTTTCATAATATATAAAGCTTTCCCTAATAATAAGTACAGGAACTAGGACACCACAATAAAAATGTTTTATATTACCTGCCCAAAATTAATTTTCTTTCTTAATTTGACATAGCCAAAACATGAATATTTTTGCCATTTAAAACACTTCTATAATACATAACTATGACCAATAATAGTAAAAATAAAGGATGGATAAGAACTGTTAAGCTAAGGAAGTGGGTATATATATATATATATATACACATACACACACACACATGGTACAATATGTACAAAATCAAAGATTTAAATTAAAAAATTTATATTACTTTACAATCTGGCATAGGAGTATTGTTTAACAATATGAGAGAGACGAAACGTGGTCAGATTGACATGCTGGTGATTTTATGGAAAGGGGCTAATTCCCTTCAAAAAGTCAGGATCTTTCTATGGAATCGGCAATAAGTTTTCCTGTATTTTTAATGCTTTTAATATATTTTTTAAATTTCATTAAATCCAATACTTCTTACAACTTTTGCTTTCCACAATATGCACAATCTTTAATAAGTTTTGCATTATTTCAATTCAAAATTAATATTTTCTTATCATTTTCTAGAAAATAATCAAAATTGAATTTAATTATTAAAATTTACACATAGATTAATAGACAGATAGATAATTATATACATATATATGTACTGCCAGTCACATTTTCAAGACATGAAAAATACAAGCTAAATTTCATCAATCAACCAAGTAGAATGGGAAATATAAAACTACTTATTTTTTATTTGACTTGTGCACACAGGAGCTGTTTTCACTCAAGAGCAGAAAATTGTGAAAATTGGGCAATGTGCATGCTATCATTTTCTCGTGTTTACAGCAATTTGTTTTGCATAAAAAACATAAGAGAAATGCACAAATTAGCCATCAAGGGCACGAGTTTTGATCAATAAACTTCGATCATTCATGAAATACAACTCTGCAGAATGGAAATTTTAACATTCTTAACTGTTGGGCAGGTTTCTTTTTCATTAGCCAGCAAACTCCATTACCCCATTACAATTTCTTAGAAAAACAAAAAAAATGTATGCAGTCCCCCCAAAAAATTAATAACCATTGAATTTTAAGGTGAAAATCTGTTGTTTAATCATCTACTGCATATGTGCATATACCTGGATTGCTACATAAATACATTTTGACAATATAATGAGTTGCCTATTTTGGCAACACAGTGTGCTGCTTCAACTACCCAAAATATACAATAGTTACAATGACTTTTTCTTAAAATGTCCTCTTGAAAATCATACTCATATTATATAAGCAGCCTAACACTGAAAAATACATTAATAATTTATTACCTATTCTTGAAATTTTGTATTTAAAGAAAATATAGTTACTTAATTTTATCTCAAATTTGGCATTTAGACCATTGACTACCTCTCTCTCTTCCCCTTCTTTAGCAAAATACCTTCAATACATCAGGTTCACACAGATGAGGTTGCCTTATATAAATATCCTTCTTATACTTATTTTACTAGGACAGGAGCATTTGCTTCTTAAATAAGATGATTTCAGCAATGATTGCCAATAATGAAAATCCATTCCTATCCGATCAGTTACTTTAATATGCTTTTACTTTAAATGACTATTTCCAAGCTTTATACATAATAACTGTAATATGCATTACATTTTCTAATCTAATTAATAGCTGTTAATGAATAAACACAAAATTTAACAGAAGTGAAATATAACTTAAAATTAGGCAAAGCAATAACCTTATGTTTGGCATAGATTTTATTTAAGACTCTCTCGATTTTGAGAATGAACAGGAACAGATCCCTCTCCATCAGGAATTAAGAAGGAAGCAATTAATAAACAAAAATTAAAAGAGCAATTAATAAACAAAAACTAAAAGAGCAATTAATAAACAGAAATTAAGAGTTTCAATTATTAGAAATATAATTTATAACCTCAGGAAAAGTATATTACACATATATCAACTAGATAACATCAGAATTTGAGAAATAATGATTTCTTTAAAACAGACCCTTTGCAAAAGATTTAACCAAACACTTACTTGTTTCAAGTCTCACCAAACCACCTTTCAGAAGTTCTGTCCTTTGATTATCTTTGCTTAACACCTCATTTTCAGCATTCCATTCTTTTTTAATACCAGACAATTTTGCATTATTTTTTCCACTATTTACAGGAATTGATTTACTGTCAGTTAAACTACAATCAAATGTAAGTTCTTTAGCTCTTTCTTCACAACCAGAGTCTATAGATGAACTCTGCTGTACAATTTTACTAGGTTTATCATTAGATGAGTTTCCGCAAGAAAAATCAAATTTGACAGTTTCGTTATAACTAATATGAAGAGGCACAGTATTGTTATCATTTATATTTACAGCAAGTGTTTTTAAATTAGGGTCATGCAAGTTTTTCTCAAATATATCAACTTTATGGTCCAGCACTTTGGAACTAGAACAAGTGGCATGACTAGAGGACTGGAAGACTTCTTCGGACTTATCAGACACATAACTGCTGTTCCCACTGCTTGAGGCAGATATATTTACATCACAAGTTTGAAGAAGAGTCATTTTCTTATTTTCAGATTTTAGCTTAGTCTCTGATGAAATTCGGAAACTTTCCGCCTCTAGCCAGAATTTGACCAGATGCTTAACACGATGTGCATCCATGAACTGTATGAAGTACGCCAGTGCAGAATTATCAGCAAGAACTTCATCTAGATCTTTTGATAATCGAGATTTGTTTTTTATAGGCAATGATGGGTCAAATGTAGCCTCAGCTGAAAATAAAATAGATAATTAATATATTAAAAATACATGCAAAAACCAAAATTTACCATAATGAATTAGTAAGATTACATAAATAATAAAATTATTGGTATTTTTGTGTTATAGCAAACACCATGAAAATTGTCATTAAGTAAAATGTGCCAGGGATGAATAAAAGTTCTAAATAGAAAAAGCATAAACAAAAATGTTATAGAAAAAAGAAATTTATAACAAAATAATATTTTGATTTATTTTTAGCATACAGTTTCTCACTTACACTTATTTCTCGATATATTTTCCAGTCGTCTTCTTATATAAGATATGTGAAAATGATTATGTGCCCATATATAAAATTTCGAAAGCTGCAGAGGCATTTGTGTTGAAAATTGGCCCAATGGTTTCCGGCTACGATTTATAAATGCGTTACACTTTACTTTGGGACAGAAAGACTCATGTGCATTGAATGATGTAAAAAGCAGTCAAAATTGCGTGATACATCTGTTAACTGAAAGAGTCATGCTGCTAGGTATATGTTGTAAGGTGCTTGCTCATCACAGCAAGTTTTGAGACAACAATTACGACGGCTTATATGAGATGTTCTTTAGATACATGCCAAATTAGTTTACTTAAATATTAGGGAATAAATTTTATAATTCTTATAACTGCTTATCTATAATTTCTTTAGCCACTACAATATCAGAATTACAATAAGTCAAAATTAAAGCCATCATTACTAAAATATAGAGTGAATATTCACACAAAAACCATTTCTGAAAGTGACTAGTAATTTTTAGTACATAAATAAACATCAGCACTGAATATCAACTCTCTAACGCAACAATTTATACAAAAGACCAAAACACTCTGAAAAGTTGGATGACTGTTTTAAAAAACGGTTTACTAGGACTTTGAATACGTAATATGCAATGTTCATTTAAGTTCTCGGGATTTCATATACCAATTATGATACCATATATCTTTTGACATTCTATAATTTACCATATAAGTTCACGCATTTTAATGAATATTATTTTATTATTATTGTTTTTGTATAGGGTTCTAGAAATAACAGCTTAAATAATACATGCGTTTAAAAATCATAACAAAGCAAACAAAAGTATAATTAAATGTTATGTTAAAGGTATACTCTATTTCAAACATAAAAATTTCGCATGAATGTGATTTTTTTCATTAAATTTACATCATAAATATGATTTGATTTTTCAGATGATATCTTCCTAAGATTAAATTTGAAATTTTAATTCATTACAGTTTAATTATCATTGGTTATAAGTGAAATCATATGGCATACTGAAAAATTAAGTCTGGGAAACTTTGTACACAGATGTTTATAACTGTTCTGAACTAGTATTTATGATCAAACAATTACTACACATTATTTTAAGACAGTTATTTTACACTTGTTTTACAAAATGCTGTATCATAATATTAAGTTGCAAGGTTTATGGAATGAAATTTCTAATACAAATACGGTAAAACAGCAATGACTACAGTCTTTTTAACAGGCACTTCGAGATTATTTCCCCTTTCAACTTACTTCATAATCATGGTAATAACTATTACACAAGATGGTTAAGTCTTTTAATTTGCTAAGATTTCCTAATCTCCTTTCTGTAGTAATGGCAATATATGTTACAACTGTAAACAAGGGGAAAAATCTTGAAGGGCCTATTTTAAAGTAACTGACTATAAAAGCAGTGTAAATACAGCTTTTCCCATCCTTATATTCCTTTTTGAAATAAAACTTTAATTCTAGCATTCTAAAGTGTTAGTTTATTCCTTTTTCTGTTATCAAAACTGTTGATGCATTCTAAAGGTTTGTTTCATCTCTCCAGTTGTTGTTCTATACAAAATACAGTAAGTTGTTTTTTAAGTGCAAAGGTAATAAATCGAAGGTCTTCTTATTCACTATGTAAAAAAAATCCCTCTCATAAATAAGTAAGCACTTAAAGCAACTGTGGGGAAATTTTGCAATATTATTTAATATTCAGAACTGCATTCAGAACACTGTGTTTTAGAGTATAACTAACATAATAAAATCATGAAAAATGCCATCCCAAATATGCTGCACAAGGTGTGCCACCTCCTGCTTAGCTACATCACTGCACAGGAAGTATCGTGATGACTAAGAATTATCCCATAAATATGAGGCATAAAGACACTTCTTTAAATCTTTTTCGTACAGAAGAAGAATGCTCACTTTTATCAACTTAATAGTTGAAATAAAAAAAGAAAACAAAGAAAAATAATTAAAACTTTATGAATGTCAAGATTTTTTATAAAATGTGCAAAAATTCAGGCTGATATTGTTCATTTATTGCAGAAATTTAACTATATGTTAAATGGTGTTAAATCATAATTAATTTTGTTTAAATTCCTAATGGTGTATTTTTTTTATTTAATACAGTAATCCGGACTCATCGGGATTTCGGCGGGAGTAGGGGTTTTTCTGGATTATAGATCATCAATTTAAATCTGGTAAGATGGCATGCAGAAATTATACAATTAAAAATATGAAACCGTAATTTATGAAATAAAGAGCAATTATGATCTAAAGGGTATCAAAATTTCCAAAAAAAAACTTAATATTTATTTGTTTACTTTATTAAACATTTCTTTCAAAGTACGTTGTTTAAGTTGCTTTCTTTTTTGTGCTAATACTTTCTCTTTAATTCTCTCTTCTATAAACAGACATAATTTCTTGTTCAGTTACAAAGTTCCTCTGTTCAAATCCTGTAATTGCTGTGTCGAGAATACCGACTAAGTTGTCAATCGAAATTTTTTCGTTTTCAATAACCTCTTTGTCACTTTCTTCAGTATCGGAAGCGCGCATGTGTACACGCTTTACTGGCTTTATGCGCATGCATAAGTTTGTGGCTTTGAGGTCCGGATTATAGATCATTCCGGATAATAGATGTCCGGATTGCGGACTTTGTACTGTATAATGCTATTTAAATTAATTAATTTTTGTAAGCTGTTTATTTGCATTTTTAAAATTAATTTACTTAGTACACTGAGAAGTGTTTAAAAACTTGCATATCTACTGTTTCAGTGACACTTAGCTTATCCTTCAAGCATTTAACAGAAAAGGCTATTTTAACTTTAGTTTTTTAATTGTGCCTAAAAAACAGTACTTATATTGCATTCTCTAAATTTATATAAATAAAAATAATCAGCTTCATGGCACAGTTTGAATCTTCTGTTTCAAAACATTAGAAGTAAAAATATCTAAATTAGTTACAAATATATATGGTTATATTCAAAATTATTCTTTTGCTTCTAAAAAAAATGTGACAATTTCATGAAAAAAAAATCTGCTGTATTTATATTTCATTCCCACTTATTATAAGTGCAATCTATTAGCATCCCCCTTCCCAACATTCTTTTCATTTTAGCAAACTACGGTCAATTTAGAGACATGAAAGGGAAGTTTTGAAGATTTTCTGTTTCTTCACAGTGAAGAGAAAGTGGAATTCTTTGTCACATTCCTTGGTTGTTCCCACTTGCTCTCAAAGCTACTGGTAATATACACTGACTACCAATAAGTATTTGGACACCTGTGATAGAAAAGAAAAATTGAATTTATTCAAAATCAATAGTTGGTAGAGCCTCCACGAAAGGTAATTACAACGTGGACCTTCCGGGGCATACTTTCCACAAGTCTTTGTATGACAGCTAGTGGTATTTTCTTCCACTCGGCTTGGAAAAAGACATAGAAGTTCATTCACCGATTTTGCACAGGTAGTGCACCCCTGAATTCGGCGATGCAAATCGTCCCAGAGGTTCTCGATAGGGTTCAGGTCTGGACTCTGGACAGGCCAGTCCATTCGATGAACTCCATTGGCACCATACCAAGCCTTGGTTAACGTCGAAACATGACAACTGCCATTGTCGTCCTGAAAGTAACAGGGGTCCACCCCATAAAACTGCCACAACGTAGGAAGCACATTGTCATCCAAAATAGTGCAGTAGGCATCGGAGTTGAGCTTACCATGAATGGGGACCAAGGGTCCCAGCCTATACCAGGAGAAACACCCCCAGATCATAATTCCACCTCCGCCGAACTTGACTGTTGGCACAATGCATTCTGGCAGGAGACGCTCTCCAGGTAGACGCCAGACCCAGACCTTGCCATCCGAACGGTAAAGGGTGAACCTTGATTCGCCACTCCAAACCCGTTTCCACTGATCTACAGTCCAATTTCGATGTGCTTTGCACTACATTAACCGAGCAGCGCGGTTGGACTTTCTGATCAAAGGCTTATGGGCAGCAGCACAACCATGAAAACCAAGCAGATGTGCTTCCTTACAGATGATATTCTTGAAACAATACTCCCGGATGCCTGTTGAAACTCCTTGCAGATGAGGGCCATCGGTTGGGTGTGGTTCTTCCGAATTTCTCTGGACAGTACTCGTCGGTCTCTATCTCCCAGTTTCTTTGGTCTGCCGACTCGGGACACATTCCGACAATCACCTCTCACCTTCCACCTCTTAATCACATAGGCCACTGTCGATTTTGGGTACTTCAGATCGCTAGATATGACCCTTAAGGATCGGCCACATTTGTGATACCCGATAATTATACCTTTCTAGAAATCAGAGAGCTCCGAACTGCGAGGCATCTTGCATGCGACTAAAGCCGATGCTGTTTCCTACACGATATATACCGGCAGAGTCCGTGACGTACCTTAGGACCGCAGATATCGTCATTTGCCTGCTTCTGATTTTCTGATACTTTCTTCTCATTATTATTGGAGTTTTTGCCATGGCATCAGTTTTACTGCTAAGAGGTCAATTTTCAGTTAACAGTCAGCAACTTACTATAAGTGTAATACAATCTGCTAACTTTTCACTTCTCACTAATTACCAGTATCACTCACTAATTACCAGTCATAGTGAGTGGTAATTAGTTGAGTGAATTTCCCCAGATGGTAGAGCATCAAATGCTGTTGTTATGTCAAAGAACTTCACTCAAATGGTCTACTATGTTCCAAGACCACAATCATGGCATGTTTTTCCTAATACCAGCCAGCATAATTTAATCAGTACTGTTATTAAGGTTTTGAGACTGGAGGCCAATGTTTTTTCCTGTAACAAACTGGTTGATGATCAGATTTTATTTAATTTTGTTATATGACGATGTTATAATGATCTTCTCTATGCCAAAAGTCTATTCCTGGGTTTCACAAAAATATCATACTATTCTTTAATGAACAAAGAGATTCTTACAGATATAAAGATATGTTGGGCAGGGCTCCCATACCTGGGTTTCTCCACCCTTATCTGGGTTTTTGATTGTCATCTAGGTTGATAGGTTCCCCCCCCCACACAAAAATACTTCATTATTTGAGTGTGATGATGTTTGGGGTAGGAGTAATTTTTAATTTTAAATTAAAATTTATTGCATTTAATATCAATTCACAACTTTAACTATATATTCTAGCAATACTGAACAAAATTTGTAACACTTCAAGTACTTGTACAAAATATTACAAATGTAAAAGGATTTCAAAGTTTTTACATTGTTCTTAGTTTTCATTCGTGCTAATGATATGTGATATACGTAGCTTAATGAGCAGATGGAAAGCAATCTTTACTGCACAGTCTTTCATGATTGTTCATAGGATTATTGATTACTTGGTGCAATTTTTAGTTATGCATATACTACATAAAATTCAATAATTTTAAATTATAGTGACTATTTCTATTTTATGTTAATGGATTGGTGCTTTATAGAATATTTTAAAATAAGATAACCATAAATTAGCCATACCCACATTTGTTCCCCATAAAGAAAGATAAATAAACAATGGTATACTCAAAGATCTTCAAATAAAGATCAAGATACTTCTTACCTTCAGGATCCAAACTGAATTATGAAGTTTGATTTAAAAAGACATCATGACTTACACGAGCACTTTGAATCCTGAATTTCAAAGAAAGAAAGTTTGTCCTTCAGATGCTTAGTCAAATTACTGCTTTGGGAAGAAAACTTTGACTACGGGAATCACAACTTCAAAAAGAAAATGCTTCTCATTTTTCAAATCTCTAAAATCACAAGAGAGATATAGTACCACACACTTTTATGAGCTCTATTAAAGATTCTGGTACTCCTTATGAAACAGAATGGCAGTTGGAGCTAACTGATTTACAACGCAATGGATTTCTGAAATCAAAACTTCATTTGCAATCCTTGGCAGATTTGTAAAAAAAGTATGTATTGCCAAGCGGAAAATGTAAAAAAATCATGACTAACGTAAAACTGATGACTCAATTATTTTGAAATACATATGCTTGTGAACAAAAGTGAAATATGCTGAAAGTCAATTAAGAACAAGGTTGAGTGACGGCCACCTGGACCATATTTTGCTCCTATCAACAAATATTTCACCTGATGCAAAGTTATCACATAATAAGAAGAAACAAATGTCTCAATAAATAATTTGCCTGTTCAAACTGTTTGTATTTTGTAGCAAGGATTTTGATTTGTTGTTGTTGCTTATGTTTAAATGTTACATCAGTTCCCTTGTTTTATTTAGACTTCTAAATAGCTTAGCCTTCTGTAAGCATATTTCCATTACATTTAATAACACGGCTCTCCTCTTGCATAGGCATTGCATAGGTGTTTGGCCCTTCCCCTGCAGAGGATTACCAACCACTGATCTACCTAATGGCTGCTAATCTGATCATCTTTCCTCTCCGTTTCCCTTACAGCTTTTGTGTAAATAGAGGAATGAAATATCAAATAATATCACCAGTTAGCAAAATCCAAAGTTTGGCATTTCCTTGTTAAAGTGTCTATTCTGCTAAGTCATCAAAATTGGCAACTCTAATAATCTAATCCATATCATGCAAATTTGAAAAAAAAAAAAAAAAAAAAAAAAAAAAAAAATCAAGGTTTAAATGGTGACCACTTTACCAAGTATGTAACTAAAGTTCTTTTAAATGAACATATGCATAATGATATGCTTGACAGTTAAAATATAAAACTACTATTTTTCAGAATAAAAGATGTTCCTTGATCTTTTATATTTCAGAAGTAATGTTCAATCATAATTTCAAAGGTTTCTCATGGGCGTAGCCAGCTCAAATTACAGGAGGGTGCCCATTACGACTCCTATGGCTATACTGTTCTACCTATTACAGCATCTACAAGTATATAGGAATTATTACGTGACGAATGTATTATGCTAATGGCAGTTATCTTAATATAAAGAATAATTATATTATGATTTTATTAATAATAAAATTATGTAACATGATTATGGATATATGCTGTTAATTATAGTATTTATAATTATTACCTTAAAAACATATTAAATGCGCAACTCAAAATTTTTTTTTTAAATTAATTAAAAATTATTATTAAAATATTAAAAGAATTTTGAAATTCATCTTACCTTGGTTTCATAATACAACTATAAAGATAAATTTATAAAATACATATTTCTCTTGTATATAATAAAGATATTGAATTAAATACAGTCAAAAGTCGTTAATTCGGACACCCATAATCCGGATCTCAAAGCTACAAACTTTCTGCGCATGCGTCGCGTTGACGCATGCGCACAGGTGTTTATGTGTGCGCGTAAGACCTTTACGGCTGCGAATATGCATGTGTGCGTGCGCATAAAACGTTTATGCATGCACGTTTAATGTATAACGGACGGTATAAGCTAAGCTAAAATTATCTAATTAAGTTAATGTTGCAGATTGCGTTGTTCCTTAATCTTCGAATTGGATCCGGCTTATTATTTTTTGCAGACTGTTAGAGCAATTTTATAAAAGTAAGCTTGAACTTTCGATTATATCAAATAGAATTTCCAATATATATTTGCTAATACGTAAAGGATCTAAACCGAAAGTATGTTTCGAAATCCGAAATCTGTTTATCAATTTCACACTGCTCGGCGAGGGGAATGCCGCGGCACGCAATGAATTGGAAGTTGATCTGTCAGCACTATCCTTATCTTCAGGGCAGATGTTTTTATTTTATTTGGCTTATAATTCCTTACTAAATGTAGCATTTCATCTCGATGTACTCCGTCTTTGATATGATTTAAAAGAAGTTCCTCGTCATCATAATTCACTTCCGATAGTGAAGAAAGTAACAGAGGTTATTGAAAACGAAAAAATTTCGATTGACAAATTAGTCGGTATTCTTCGACACAGCAATTATAGGACTTGAACAGCGGAACTTTGTAACTAAACAAGAAATTATGTCTGTTTAATAGAATTAAAGAGAAAGTATATCACATGAAACGAAGCAACTTAAACAACTTACACTGAAAGAAATGTTTAATAAAGTAAACAAATAAATACTAAGCTTTTTCTTTTTGTAAATTTTGATACCTTTTAGATCATAATTGTTCTTTATTTCATAAATTATGGTTTCATATTTTTAATTTTGTAATTTCTGCATGCCATCTTACCAGATTTAAACTGATGATCTATAATCCGGAAAAATTGATAATCCGTAATCGCCAAAGTCCCAATGAGTCCGGATTAACGACTTTTGACTGTACATAAAAGTTGTAAATACATCATTTATTTTGGACATGAAATTAAATTGCAAATTAAAAATAATAAGCTGCAGCGAATAATAAGCTTCAGCGAATGATCAGCTGCAATAAAATGAGCAATGTATTAAATCTGAACTAACCGGGAATCATAACACAACAAAGTATTTTATGAATTCTGGGAGTAACATACTCACAAGTCAATCAGAGAATGTGGCATATAATCATACTATGCTGAAAAATAATGAATACACCTCTGCTCTAATATTTCACCTCATTTATAAACTGCATATTTCCACTCTTATCCATGACAGTTTAATAAATATAAAATATTATATACTTTGTGTCTATTTAACATATTATTTAATCATACCAAATGCCAATGGATATGGTCTGTCATCTAGATCAAAACTTGAAAAGGACCCAGCATTAGAATGCTTGTCAGAATTCTTAGCTTTCTGTAAAGCTTGAGCTCGTCCTTGCCCATAAATTGATATGGAACTAGTCCTTGGCAATGGTGTTTCTGAAAAAAAAAAAAAAAAAAAGTACATTTTATACAGTTGTGGTATTTTGTATCAGAGCAAAATGCATAAGATGCAAAGTATCATCTAGATACATTTACATACAAAACCACATTAATATAAAAAATTAATAAATGATGCAAAACATCATCTAGATACATTTACATCAAAAATACATTTTAAACAGTTATGGTATTTTTATTAGAGTAAAATGCAAAATATAATTATAAATCTCTATCGCTAACACTTGAATGGTTTTTCTTACATCTTCTAGAAATAAAATACAATAATATTGTATTAAAAATCTCCTATATAAACTAAAAGTAAACTAAAAAAATTTTTTCAAGACCTTGTGCCTAGAGATTTTTTATAAAATATCAATCATTTACTTTTGTTCTAATTTCTGTTTTATTGTAATATTTTGGATAGGAATACAAATTAGAAAAATACAGCAAAAAAAGGTTACTCTACGTATCCCCCTGAGTATAAGCAAATTTTTTGCTACTTAAGTTTTACAGTCAGCTTACATAAATAAAACTTCAAAATAATTTACAAATAATTAAATCAGAATAAGGAATAACAAAAAATAACAACGGAATTCTTTGAAAAAAAAATTTATTTTTAAATCCTAATATATATTAATTTAATTTCTCAGCAGCAGAATGCGACTTCGAATTTTTTAGAAGCGTCTGGAAGTCTCTCTCCTCTACGTTCAAATCTGGGTGAATGTCAACCTCCTCTATTTTAATATTAACATTGTCACCAGTCTAGTAAAATGACATCATTTTCAGCTCCATCTATGACACTCTGAATGCAACATTTTCTTAACAATCAGATGATCATTTCTGGCTTATTTTCTGAATTAATAACTCCAGTTATTTGACAATGGCAGTTTGCTTATATGAGAGGTCTAGTTAAAATGGATAGGTACAGGTAGAGATAGAGGCTAGACCGACACCTCTAACATTACCATACATGATTGAGGTATTCGTACCACCTTCCAGGTGGTACGAGGGTCTCCCATAATCCGGAATGAACTATAATCCGGACCTCAAAGCTACAAAATTTCTGCGCATGCGCGTAAGACCTTTACAGCTGTGCATATGCCTGTGCACATGAGCACAATACGTTTACTCATGCGCGTTTAATGTATAACGGACGGTATAAGCTAAAATTATCTAATTATCTATTTCAGTTAATGTTGCAGATTACGTTGTTCCTTAAATCTTCGAATTGGATCCGACTTATTATTTCTTGCAGAATTTTAGAGCAATTTGATAAAAGTAAGCTTGAACTTTCGATTATGTCAAATAGAATTTCCGATGCTGGAGCTGCCAAAGGATCTACAAAGCGAAAGCATGTTTCGATGTCCATCAAACAAAAAGTGGAATTGTTGCCAAAAATGAATAAAGGCATATCCTTTGTTTCTCTAACCATTCCGAAATATGTTTATCAATTTCACGCTGCTCGGCCGGGGAGGGAGACGATGCGGCGCACAATGAACTGGAGGTTGATCTGTCAGCACTATCCTTATCTTCAGAGCAGATTTTTTTATTTTATTCGGCTTACAATTCCTTACTAAATGTAGTACTTCATCTCGATGTACTCCGTTTTGGATTGACTTAAATCAAATTCCTCGTCATTATAAATATCACAAATACACATCAAATAGTTTTCTGGTTGCAATTTTCTAATTTCGACTATGCGTAATGTATGCTTTATGCATGCGAGCGTTGAAAGAAATGTTTAATAAAGTAAATAAATAAATATTAAGCTTTTTTTTTTTTGTAAATTTTGATACCCTTTAGATCATAATTGCTCTTTATTTCATAAATTATGGTTTCATATTTTTAATTTTATAATTTCTGCATGCCATCTTGCCAGATTTAAACTGATGATCTATAATCCGGAATAACCGATAATCCGGAATCGAAGTCCCGACGAGTACGGATTAAAGACTTTTGACTGTATTCAAATTATTGTTTTTACAAATATTTTTATAGTTACCACTAGTTAATAATAAATATATTTTTGTATATTTATAGACAAGTATATGAATGCATATAATAAAATACATTTTTTTGAATTATTGGTCTGCTTTCATAACTAAATTATAATTCTTGTTTCATTCCATTTGTCCTGCTTTGTCTCAATGAAAATGTGGTCACTTTAGACTAGCATCCCTGTGGTGATGATGTTCTTCACCCGAATGCTGTAACTATTCCTGACCGCTAACCTGCACCTCATTGATTCAAGATTGTACACAGATATTTTTTGAAAAAAATATTTGATTTTTGATGGACTGAAGAAATACGAGTTAAAACTGAAACCTGCTAAATGTGTTTTGGGAAAGTCGTCAGTATCATTTCTTGGTTGTTCAATTACGCCTTGTGGTAGTTGAACAACCAAGGTTTCCTTTTTTTCGGCCTCTTTCTGAAAAAAATTTCAATAATTTCTAACTTACCTAAACCTGTAACAATGACCAAACTAAAGAGATTTTTGGCAATGATGAATTTTGATCGACGATTTTTTCCTAAGGCCACAACTACCCAAGCAACACTTTATTATCTTTTGAAGATTCTAGAAAAAACAATAAACCTCCTACTCTCTAGACAGCAGAAACAACTATGGCCTTTGAAAAAAGTAAAACTAACCTAAATGCAGTGCACTTGGTTCCCATGCCCCTGGTTTAGCAGTTGTCATTAATGGTTGACACCTCAGACATGGCTATTGGAGCTGTTTTGCATTCACTATGTTATAAACATCTTCAACCACTATTTTTTTTTTTTTTTTATCCTCATAATTTCAACTCATTATTTTCATCAAAGATGCAAAATTATCTTTAATCAGTAAATGTTAACTTTTTTAGACAGATTTCTTATTTCTCATAGAATTTTTAGAAAGAAAATTTGAAGTCTTCCACCCTCTGTAGAACTATTTCTGTGTCACCCATCCAATGTTTTGTTTTGCTGCAATAGGAGCCCTAAGCATTCATATATTTTAATTTTTATAATGAACTTTATATACAATAGAACAGCTTAATGGTCTTTGAAATTTACTATCATTTTGAATTCTGTGAGGTTTTTGAATATTGTTTGATTATACAGAAAAACTATTAAATGATTCCCATTAATCATTTTATTGTTTCATTATATAGAAACTATGAAATGCTTCACATTAATCATTTCAGTAATTTTTTTAACAGATTTCTCCTTTCCTAGTCACAAAAAAGGAATCTGTGAATGTCTCATAACATATGCCTTCATGATGTAACCTTGATAACAGCATATAAATAGAAAACATTCTTTGAAAATTTCATTGAAAAACTGAAAATTTTTTAGATGACATTTATTACTCTGACAGAAAACACACCATAAATTTAAATACTGTGTTTATTGTAGATGATTTTGTTTGATCTCAGTTGTCTGTGAAGACTTTTATAACATAATTTTTGCACTTTAAAAAAAATATATACGAGTTTTTAAGTCGTATATTTTTTTTAAAAGTGTAATATTTTCTTCTGGGGAAAATATGTTTAGAATAAAAGGAAGACTCGATAAACGCACACTTCAAAATCTTTGCCAAATCCCGTGTGTACCGTATCCTAGGTTTAAGCCAAACAAGTTTTATAATATCAATTTTAAGCAATGAAAGTTTTCCAAATTATTTTCAAAAATGACTTTGAAGTATATGTTACGTTTCTGTATTCGTTCTGATTGTATTTGTAGACTTTACTTGTAGACTGTATTTGTTCTTACAACCGCTTGCTTTTAATTACCACAGGAACTTTTTTTTAAAAATATTACCACAACTATAAGACTATGTAATGTTTTGTCTGGGTATAAGAAGAGAAACTGTAATATGGATTAATCTATTAAAAGTCGTTTAAAAAATTAGTAAATGAGCCTTCTAATTCACACATAAAACGAACAACCATTACTGTGAACACATCTTATTTTCATTAAATTTTTCGGTATATGTAAATGAAGTAATGACAATAAGCTTTAAAAATTTTTATATTCATGGAATTAGAGGAAAACAGGGGAACATCTCCCTTATTTTAAATATAATTAAACGTGTACTCACACACAGAATAAACTTACCTGCTTTTCGACGAAATAACGGCATCGTAATGTAGTTCTATGAATTCTCATTGCATACTTTGCATGTGAATCGAAATCGAGAATAATTTTAATGATCTCCGCAGTATATTCCAAAATTTTAAATTGGCTAACCGTTGAGCTACGAAAAGAGCACTACAATAAGAGTTTTCATAACCGAAAAAGGCAACTGACATACACTGATTAAAATTATATTGTCATTTTACTTCAAGTTGTGAATTCAAACAAAAAATCGGCACTTCACTGTATGTTGATATTCGAAATCCAACGTTAGTAGGCCTTAAAAAATATTTACTTTTAATAAAGGAAATTAGATGTTTTATTGCTGCTGATAGCAAACTTCTTTCGAAGTTAGGCGAGAGTAATATATCATAATTAACCGCAAGTATTTGTCATAATTTCCAGTAAATACGGAGTCCTTGTCTAAGGAGTCCGTCATTATTTCGATTCATTTAATTCTCTCCCTTGAATAAATTAATAATCCAGAACATTGCTATGGAATATGAATAGTCTAAAATTAATATTTTGCGCGTTTATAACATCCAGCCTCTGGATTAACGCACTAGAATCGGAAACCAATAAAAGCTGCATTCAGTTCAGTATATAAATTAAAAATGCGTTTCTTCTCTCTTGTATCTTTTAAATAGTTCAATTTGCGAATTTGTGAATTTGTCAATTTTGTGAAGATACTTGTATTTATGGCAGATTGAATTAGTTTTAAATATAAGCTGTAAGGCCTTAGTCTGGACATTGTCGAAACGGAACAAGAGAAACAGTGATTGTTCGATAATCAGCAAGTCTCAAGATATCGTTTTCAATCCTTTCACAAATCGGAAGATTAGACATTTTTTTTCGGCAGCTGCTATTTAACTTTTACACACACACAGAGATCGTATTTTTTTCTCGACTGTCAAGATGTAAAACATCTTTTTACTCGACTTCTGATAAGGATCGGGTGGGGGGAGAAAGAGTAGGGTGAAAGGAGTGCGGGAGGCGGAAAAAAGAGAGTGAGGTCCGCTCTAGCGGCGGCGAAAAAAGGGGGGTGGCAAGTTCAGTGTCGTTATAAGATGTAGCTGCGGGTGGTAAACTGCAGAGTTAGTTTAGCGTGAATGAGTCAATTAAGGTTGTGATTCTTATGTGGGTAACGATGATTTTCTCTGGGATGCGGGGAGTGTCTGAGAGTGCTAATAAGGCTATTACTGTGGGTTTGTACTGAATAAAAGAAGTTGACCGCTAATCGTTTAATATACTCTTGAATAAGTTCGATTCGAAGGTCTCTGTGAATATAGATGTTTTGAATATACCAAGGAGCATTGATAATTTCTCGTACAATTTTATTTTATAGAATTTGTAATTTTTTAATATTGGTTTTAGCTGCATGTCCCCAGATCGGTGCTGCATAAAGGAGGGCTGGGCGCAGTATGGAGCGATGAAGAATTAATTTGTTTGTAGTAGATAAGTTGCTTTTTCTACCAAGAAGAGGTCGCATAGTAGCTGTGGTGATTTTAAATTTTTGTACTACGGACCGGAAGTGGGTTCTGAAGGTAAGTTTTTGTCAAGGATGACACAAAGGTATTTGGTTTCATTAATCCAGTCTATTTCTTCGTCAAATATTTCAGGGGGTGGAGGATAGTATTTCATGTTTCCTTTACGGAAAATTATTGCCTTAGTTTTATCAGTGTTAGTTTTAATCCTCCAAAGGGTAAGCCATTTTTCCAGTTTTGTGAGATAGCTTTGGAGTTGGTTTCTTACGGCGATAATTGTGCAGGCTTTAGTAAGTATGGCGCTGTCAACGGCAAAAGAGTGCAAGATGAACAGAAGGGTCTTTTAGGGATGTCTTGTGTATAAATATTAAAAAGGTACGGGGAAAGTGCCGACCCCTGTGGGACACCAGCATTGATTACTCTGGTGGTAGAGTAAGCAGTACCGATTTTGATTTTGAATGCTCTGTTGCTGAGAAAAGAGGCTATTAAGCGAATAAAATGATCTGGAAAATTGAGAGTGATTAGTTTGTAAATAGGGCCTCCATGCCATACCCTGTCAAAAGCTTTCGCGATATTGACTTGGCCGATGCTATTCGCACCGACATTAATCACGCATGCGCATTGAGTTGTCGGATCCGTCATTTGAACCCAATCGAAAAGAACGGATTCTACGTACGTGAACTGTTTAAGTGTTGTACTGAATCTTTTTTTTTAAAGGGGGGGGGTTACTACCTTAGCGTAGTTTATCATTTTTAAAGCGTAGGCGACTTTGAAAAGTTTAGAAAGGAAAATGGATTCCTTTTCTTATATATATTAAAAGAAGGAACACATTTCCTTTTGTTAAAGTATATATAAAAAATCTGATGTGTACACCACATGACTTCCTTATACGGAATATTAAATTATACGCATTTTTTCTTGCATTTTATTTAAACTTATTAGATTGAATTAAACCTACTTCGCCGACAGCGCATAAACCACAATAGAATAAATGCATTCTTTAAAATCCACTTTGTTTACCCGGCTCTTTGTTACCATACCACTTTGTTACCATAGCGACACTCTGGCGCTAGGTTTCCTTAACAGTATTATATTTCATTCTTACTATAACTCAGAATGCACAAAATGTATATCATTTAAAGAATTATCTAATCGTTGCCACATGTTCTATTCAAATACTATAATAAAGCTAGAACTATGTATAAAAGAAATTAAGCAAACAAAACAAAAAAGAAACAGTTTTTCACAGACGATTGAGTATTTCTCATTTAATTAATTCAGTTCTCACTTCGCGAGGAGGAGGAAATACATAAAAACTCAAAATATCTATATTAAAAATTACGAAGTAAATCTCAAACGCTTATTTCCTCGAAAAAATTCCAGAAAGAATTAAGCAGGATTTAATTCGCAATAATAAATGAAGGCGTTATGTTTGTTGTTGTGAAGCTAAGTTTCTCAAGATTGGCAACAAATGCACTAGTCTCGTGTTTCAAATGTAAACATGAATGGCCGCCATTAAAAACAGGCTTAGCGGCAATTAAACAACTTTAAATTTGCTGATAATTCTAAAAATATTGCACACAAATTTACTAAAGGCATAAAATCCTTGACCGGAAGATAAAACAACATAATTCAATCTTTTAAGCAAAAATGTACTTTAAACATAGATGAACTGAGATCTGCCAATAAAGTATATATAAAAATTATATAGTTTGGGCGTGTAATTGATGACTCTGGATAGAATTTTACTCTCTTTAGTGGCGATGGTGGCGATCGCCTCTTTAGTGGCTATGGTGGCGATAATGGTTTTACTCTCTTTAGTGGCTATGGTGGCGATGGTGGTTTTACTCTCTTTAGTGGCTATGGTGGCGATGGTGGCTATGGAGTCGATGGTGTGTAAGGAAACTTGATGTTGTGGAGTTGTTGTCGGAGCTGAGTTAAAATATGTAATAATTTCAGATTATTATGATTTTGAAATGTTTAGTCATGTCATATATTTTTTTTTCTGTGATTCCTACTTTTATGAAACGAAAGATATGCTTTTTATGATGGGAGAAGTAAAAAAAAAATTTTTTTAAGTATGTAAAACGGTTGTATTGTTAGTACATATGAGTTTTGAACGGAAACAAACATCAGGGGGGTGGAGATGTCGAAGGTGTGTTAGGAATCGGAGGATATGTGGATGTGTGTTGGGGAGTTGTTGTCGGAGATGAGTTAAAATATGTAATAATTTTCAGATTATTATGATTTTGAAATGTTTAGTCATGTCATATATATTTTTTTCTGTGATTCCTACTTTTCTGAAACGAAAGATATGCTTTTATGATGTTTTGGTGTATATACATTGTTTTAATTCGGTATCGAGTTGACACGTTTATATATATAATGATGAGACGCTATGTGATAATAATTATTCGCTTCCCTTGGAAAAAGGAAGGAGGAAAAATCCATTTTAGAACTAGAGGAAAAAAAATGAGAACACACGTTCGAACGAATTTAGATTACAGGATGTTTTTTTGTTAAAAGGATGACAACTAGATTGGTGTGGTTCTTTATTAAGTCTATATGAGTATAATGACAGAATGATATATGGTATTTTTTTTACTTTCGGAAAAGAACAGAAAACGTTTTTAAAAGGAGGAAGGAAAAAGATTTAAAAAAGAATGAGAGAAAAAAAAACTCGAGAGAATTTAGATTACAGGAAGGAACAGTTCTTAATTTGTGATTGACATATGACATGATTTATTTTACTTATGGAAAAAGAGTAAAAAAAAAACTTTAAAAATAATAAAAAAGGAGGACGCACGTTTTTTTTTCCTAGAGAAATTAAAGATTGCAGGGGAGCGCACACGTTATCAAAACAGATGAGTATTCCGAGGACGGGAACATAAAAAGATGTGGAAACGAGGGTTGTTTTTTTTCCCTTCTTCCTTCTTTGAATGTGCCATCGAAGCTGCATAGAGGAAACGCGAATGGAGGTCGCAAAGAGGGAGAGGGGAAACCTCAAGTATGGAAAACGAAAGCAGTTAGTTTTAGCGCGGAGGTCAATCTATTGGGTCGAATGCGAAAAAAAAAAATGTGGGTCACTGAATAAAGTTTAGCAACTCCTTTTTCTTGGTAATAGAAATAATATTGAGGGGAGAAAAAAGTAAGCATATAAATGTACTGGAGAGGCGATGAGGGAAATTAGGACACGAATAGCGTATTTAAAGAGAAAAATTCGCAACGAAAAACATATTCCTCCACTCGTTTGATTTGCAGTTCCTGACAGAATGGAAAGTTCAGCTTCGACGAGCAATGGTAAGACATTTTTTTATTTTATGCTTTGCGCTATGTTTTTCAAAAAAACTATTTTTTTTTCTGCTCCCTAGAATTTCGTTCATAGTATGTGTAGTTTTAAATTATTTTTTTAGACTGCAAAGTGAAAAGACACATTAACTTGCTTGACGACGAAGATGTGGAATTGAATAATCCCCACCGTAAAAAAGCAAAGAGCTTCGATTTAGATTTAGCAAGCGAAGAGAAAAAAACCCTCTTCCCATCGTACTCAATACATCTTGGTCGTAATCTTGTCATGGAACTCAAGGAGTTCCGTGGATCTCATTACATCGGCTTATCCAGACAGACCTCCAATAACGACATCAAAAATCGGTTTAACATCCCCCTTGAAATGCTGGATACCTTGAAACAGGCCTGCGAGCACATGATCAATCACATTAAACGCAATCGAGTGGTTTAAAAAAAACGCTTGTTTTTTAAATTTAATTGTATTATTTTTTATTTTATTTTTTTTTCATTTT